TTTTTTATTTTTTTTTTATCTAACCATTATATATGATAATATATATACAGGATCGTAAATTTAATAATTTAAATAATTTATAAGTATAGACATCTTTTTTTAAAGCAAAAAATATTGCCTTACCCCGGAGCTTTTAACTATTAGCATGATGCGAACACATGGTACACGAGAAATGTTCGTTCATACGAATGATTTAGTAATTTTTTTCTTAAAACAAATTTAAGTAATTTGATTGTTGTTCTATTTTTTTATGCAAAATTTTATTTGAATATTCATCTTTTAAGATATATATGTTTATGTGTGTGTTTTCTAGATGTTTTATTACTCAATTCCTATTTTAAATATCACATATTGATAAGATGTTTTTATGGTTATATTATTGCCTAGAATATAATAATTTTCTATAATTATATATAAAACATCTAATGCAACAATTATATATCGCTAAAAGAAACAAAATATAAATACCAATTTTATTTTTCTTTTAAATAGAAAAATTATGAAATTGTACCAAAAAAAATCGAAAAAAAAAAACAACTAAAAGGACTCATAGCCTTAAAATAATATGGGCATTATTTATAGAGAAAAAAATTATAAATAATAAATAATTAAAAACAATAGAAAGTAAAAATAAAGAATCTCTGATTAATGGGCCTAGGACTGTTTATATCGATAAGGGCTTTGGCCCATAAATAAGCAGTACTGTAAAAACTCACTATATATGTTTGTTTGTGATATGTTCTACTCTCGATTGTAATATAAAGTAAAATTATTTTGATAACTATACGAGTGAGATAATGATGTGAGGAAAAAAAAAAAAAAATTGGATAGATTGAGTGTGCAGATGTTGGTAGTAAGAATTATTTGCTAAAAATAAAAATACGTACTTTTATAGATAAACAAAAAAAAAAAAAAAATCATAAATTTGATAGACATAAGGATTATTACATTTTAAAATATAATTCACCCGTTGTTCAAATCTATACTCACTTTTTTTTTTTGGGTTATTATTGAAAAATATTATCATTTCCTTTTTAGTTAAAAATTATTATATTTTTATATTTTTTTACTATAAAAAAAAATAACAATTATTACTCACTTTTATTAAAATTTGTGTCCGATCAAATTAGCATATATTTGCATGACTTACTGGGAATTTTAGTTGGTCCTGGACCTTGATAAATAAATAAGCTGACCCACTTTTAATCCGGCCCACCAGACTCGGTCCAAATTCTTTAATCCAAACTCAAACTCCAAGCCCTAACATTTAACCCTACGCCCATTTTTTAAAACCATGCATTATAGATATGTAAATTACTGTAATAATTGATATAAATAAAAGTAATATTAAAATTATAATTTGTAATGTATAATAATATTCATAGTTACTAAAAAATAAATAAATATTTTATTAATACTTATATATATATATAACATCACAATAAACAATTATTTTAACTTACAAATAGTAAAATATAAAACACAAAATCTAAAATGAAAATTACAAAAGAGCATACACTACATTGTAGTATATTTTTATCTTAAAACAAAAAAAAAATGCAACAATTATTTTATCTTGTGTTTAATAATTATTTTTGTATCTTAAATATGAAAAAGACAAACAAGATAAACAATACAAGAGGCTTGAAAATTATATAATTTGATTTCAATAACAATATATTTATATATAACAAATAATATATTTAATTATTATTTTACTTAAACAACAGTACAATAATTAAAATATACAAATGTAAATAAATATCACTCCCAACACTTCTTGCAAAATACACAATTCAGAAATTCAGTTTGAAGTTTTTGTTTTTTATAAAAATAATATTTCATGTAACATTTTATAAATAAATATATATATATATATATAAATAGGGATTTGCATTGATGAAGTGAAATGAGAAGGTAGACTTTTATTAATGTTGCATGACAATAAAATAAATAAATAAATAAATAAAACATTCCAATGCGTGAAGGTTCTGACATTCTGATCGAATCCCATGCAAACTAATTGAAAGCTACTCTTAATTTATTCTCTTACATATATAAAACTTATTTCTTTTAAAAATATAAGATAGAAAATGTTAATTAAAATGCATAAATATGTTACTTTTGTTAAAAAGAGATTCAAATTTTTGACTTAAAATCCCCCGGTCGAACCTAATACCTTGCAAACCAGGCTCGATAAGAAAGTCAAACTAAGCGAACCATGTGTGACAGGTGACGAAAGTGCAACTGCTACACCAAAAGACCATCTCTTACAGGACAAGTAGTTTGAGATATAGTGGTATTGTTTCCGTTTCGTTGAAATAGTTTTTATTATTTTTTTACAAGTATTTGACAATTTTTATTTTTATATATATATATATATATATAAAATAATATACTTTTATTTACATATGGATTTTTATATATATTTCCTATTGATAAAAGTTTATCCTTATTTACTATTTAACAAAACATCACATACATTAAATATTATTTAAATCAATTTTTTTTTTTCCTAAAGAGGCACCGAAATATTCCTTAATCTTATGTATATATGTAATGTGAGAGTAGAGATGAGTATACATTGAGCATTCATTAATGGCGATCGAGACGAAGCTGCAATATTTATAAATGAATTATTAATTAATTAATTAATTCTGCATTAAATGAGCTTCACGCAGCCAGTGGTGTTTCTCTAACTCTAATGCTTTCCCAACATCGTGGGTATATATATATATATATATGTTCTTTTTTTATTTTGTTGTTTTTTAAAATAATAATACTTGAATATATATAATATCTTATATACACCTTCCGTCTAGGTATTATGTCCACTTTACTGTAGACACTAAAATTTAAAAGAAGTATAATTAATAAATAATTAAAAATACATTAGTAAAAATAATTATCTTATAATAAATTAATTATAGATTAAAATAACTAATCAATCTAATTAAAATTTTAAAAAAAATTATAAATTAAAAAATTAAAATGAAATTAAAGTGATAAAATAAGCAAGACAATCGAAACTGGAAAAGTGAACATGATAAGTGAGACAAATGAAATATAAAATATGTATATTTTTACGATGACCAACAAAATTGTGTAGCCAAAAAAAAAAAAGAAAAAATCCTCACTTCACAATATTTATGGTGAGCATTGGGGTAGTAACTTTTATTAGTACTTGGTAATAATTAATACTACAATACATGCATATTATGATGAATTTTATTATAATTTACATGTTAATATAACATAAAATGCATTACATAAACCAATAATACTATTGAATATGCTACAAAGTGCATTTTAATATAACACAAATGTACAGAGTACGAACCGATAGTATATGTTAATAATACATACTCTTTTTGTCCCTTGACAATCTATCCATTTTTTTCATTTTTGTCAATTCATAACAAAGTATTCATTTTATTTTTATTTTTTTAGTAACTGTACTACTATATACCTAACATTATAAATACCCTTCCAATTTATAATATATTACATAAATATTATATCATACAATACTAATAAAGACAATTTAATCTTTTTACTTTTACTTCTACTATGTTCCAGTATAGTACTAATATTTCTAAAATTTCGTACGAAAATTAAATGAATATATAGATATGGGACGGATGGAGTATAACATATGTCGTGATTGATTTCAACACAATTTGCATATTAATAAAGCATAAATACATAATATGAAATGACAATACATAATAATAATTCACACAATATATGCTAATTTAATTTCAATCATGCATATAATGAAATACATAATTGTGTAACATAACTATATATATATATATATCTAAGAGTTATTGAGGGGAAGAAGGTGACAAATTTATGGTTGTAATATTAACAACACATTACTTAATTTATGGTCACTGAATTATTTGTGACGCCGGCTTCAGATAATAATAATAATAATAAAAATAATAATAATAATAATATGGCGGCAAAAATACTCCAAATATATATATATATATTTTTTTTTAAAAAAAAAATTATTTTTATCAATAAATGGTAATCAAGGCAAACCCTAATTAAATATCAAATAATTAAATTTTGCAGCTCGCCTGCTTCCATTTTTTATGTGGAGCTTACATAACGACTATTAAGGTGTGCAGGTTGGTAGAAAATTATAAAGACTATATTAAAATAAATAGCTAAATAATATTATTTCTAAACATATCATTTATTTTGAATAATTTAATAAAAAAAATTATTAAAAATTGTAAGAATTCAAAAGCAAGCAAATTATTTAGAAATGAATAGCCCAAAAAACAACCATTTCCGTCCGTCTATCTATTTGGAGTGTATTTAATTTGTATTTAAATAATAATTTAATGTATTTATAAGAAAATATAATTTTTTTTAGAATAAATCTTAAAATTGCATTATGTTTCTTTTCTTTAAAAATAATATACATATATATTTGCTATATAATTTTGTTATTCTCAATTAAATATATATTTTTTCATTTTATAACAGTTGATGTGTTTGGTTGAGCATAATATTTAAGGTAATTAAGTTTAGAGAGTTAATGATGATAGCAAAATAATATTATTTTATTATTATTTATATAAGTAGTCCTGTTGATAATTTTAAAACAAAAATTAATATATATGATTAAAAAAGTTATTAAAATATATATTAAATATTTTAAAAATTATATCTTAATATAATATATTTTAGTTAGTCTAAGTATTTGTTTTTTTTAAAAAATATTAAATCGAAATTTTAACATATTTTTAAGAGTTAGTAGGAATAAATATTTTCTCTATTATATCCATCTTTATTTTTTTTTAGTAAAAAATCAAATTATATATTTAATTTTTTACTGTTAACAAAAATTTCAAAACTTAAAAAACTTATAACTAAATATCCAAATAGAGCATTAGCAATGAAAATAAATCCATTACTAGAGACAACATTAATTTAATTTAATTTAATTTAATACTCATCTTGTTCAAATTGCCTATATATACATACAAACATATATATATATATAATGAGTGAGTGACCTAGTCAAGGCAGTTGCTTTCATCCTCAAACTTAGGTTCAGTTCCGAATCAAACCCCGATTTTACTACCGCGAAGTTTTCTTCCATTCACATTCCAATTCTCCCTCAAATCAATTCATTATATACACTGCAGAAAAAAAGCTTCAAATCTCCTCCCATGGCGGCGGCGGTGGCGACGGCGACGGCGGAGCCTTTCCAGACGATGAGTAGCGTTCCGAACCCGAAGCCGCTCAGAGTGTGCTTTTCATACGCAGCCTACGCCAAAAGCTTGATCGATTATCTCCGATCGTCGAATATTCCGGTGGAATCTGGGCTATCGGAGGCGGAATTCGTCGCCGTGGAGGCGTCGTTCGGGTTCGTGTTCCCGCCGGACCTCCGGTCCATTCTCCGCGAAGGATTGCCGGTCGGACCGGGTTTTCCCAACTGGCGGTCCGGTTCCAAACAGCAGCTCGAGATTCTGATAAACCTGCCAGTTCTTGGGATTTGTAAGGAAGTTTCTAGAAACGAGTTTTGGAGTGAGAGCTGGGGCGACCGGCCCGGCGACGGCGACGGGGCGGCGGAGTTGGCCGGAGAATTCTTAAAGAGGGCGCCGGTGCTCGTCCCTATGTACCGGCAGTTTTATATTCCGGCAACGCCGTGCACCGCCGGGAACCCGGTGTTTTACGTCTGCCGCGGCGGCGTGAGGCTGTGGAGCTTCGACATTGCCGGATTCTTCCAGAAGGTGGATTTCACGGAGGTGCGGCGGCGGCGGGATTGTTTTTCGGCTCCGGCGTGGGCGGCAACGGAGGCTCGGAGGATCGAGTTCTGGACGGAGATGGCGGAGGGGAGGGGGAGGCGGCGGTGGTGGAGCGGGGTTTTGGACGGGTGTCTGGAGGAGGTGTGGTGGCGGCTGAGGGACGGCGGATGGACGGAGGAGGACGTCCGGGAGATGATGATGATGGACGGCGGCGATGATGATAAGGGGGCGGCGAGTGAAGACGGCGTGGAGTGGCGCGTGAGAGTGGTGGGTTTGTCCGGCAGGCTGCTGCGCGGCGGGTGGACCGCCGCAGAGGTGGTGGAGTTGCTGGGTGAGTTTGAGGGGAACTGCGGCGGCGCCGCCGTTGATAGAGAGGCCGGCGCGGATTTCCACTGCACTACTGGCTGCGATGACCAAGTGCATTAGCTTCGTATTTGTGCTGTTTTTTTTAATATATATACACTAAGAATTATACAAATTCTCTCAATTTCATTGATTCTTATTATTAATTTCCGGACTTTTGGTATTATTTTATTCATTATTAATTTTATTATTATTATTATTTTCCAAATTTTCAAAATTTTAAAATTCTATTAAAGTTTCTTGTTTATCTAACCCATTTTGGGTGGCATTAGATTTGATGTTTTTATTTATTTATTTATTTATATTTTTCATAACCTAACAATTTGTAGTAGCTATTCTTGGCCGAAGTTAATCACCTGCATATGATGTTTTAATCGTAACTTTGTTTGGTTTTAGTTTAAATTTAAATAATATTTTGATAGATTTATCCTATTAATTTCTTTCTAATTTTTGGTTACCAAAGTATCATTCACATTTAATATTTTAAAACAACTCTATAATTTTTGCCTCTGTATTTTTTTTTTTCATACTTTTTTGTTATTCAACTTTTACAACAATATTTGCTTTCTTTCATTTTTATACTAGTATCTTTTTAGGTGATATAAACTTTTCAATATATATATATATATATATATATTTATCATTTTACCATTATTTTTTATTTGGTATGTTTTTACAAATTATTTTTGAAAGGATCAAAAGAGAAAGAATGGTGTGTAAACATATTCAAAAATTTTAAAAATAATAATAATAAAAGATTTGAAAATTATTAGGTTATGTTAATCATGTTCACACTCAATAATATAATAGAACATCTTTAGACACATCATTTTACATCTAACAATTATTTTTTATTTCAAAAAATCAAAACTAAGAAAATAAAGCCGCTAAGAGAATTCTAGCCAGATAGCAAAATTTGAGATACCCTCAAAGCATAAGAGTTGAATTAAAAACATCTAAAATTTTAAAGTACATGAAAAAGGAAATAAGCAGCACCATTATGAAGGCATCTGAGTGATGGAATATAGCTTATAGCCAAATGAACCCAACCTTAACCATGCTACATATTACAATTTATAAATAAATCACTATCAATTGCAATACAACAACAAAATCATTGTATAAATAACTTTAAAAGATTACCCAATAATTATTCCCACAAAAGCCTTGACATTATGAAGAGCCTGATTTATAACACTATACCTGCAAATTTCAACACAACATAACAGCCAAAGATTATGAAACTTCCATGACTGTAACGGAAGAAAAAAGCAAGATGAAATATTGAAGTACAAGTATAAACCTTTTGTAGCTACAGATTCACAAGACAATGTCACTCAGGCGACGGCGGGATCGTTCGTATTCATTTCGGTTCCTGTTTGCGGAAGGGTCCCCAGGTCTGTCCGGGCGTCTTTCTCTTCTTGGGGTATTGAAGTGGAAGAGTCACCACCATTGCTTGAGTTTTCTTGGTTGTTTTCACCTTCATGTGTCATGGACTCCAAATTTTGATCTTTCACTTCACCGGGTTGTTCGGTGTTGTGAGAATCATTTGAACCTCCTTTTTCGACATCTGAATTCGCTTCAGTGAAATTTGAGTCTGGTTTTTTATCATTGGTTTTGTTTTTGGAGTCCGTGTTTTCTTTGTTCCCAACCTCCCCTGTTGTTGCTTCACCTTTGTTTTCATTTTGGCCATTGTTGTCTTGATTCTCATTCTTTTGAGCCGTTTCCTCGCCATTGCTATTCTTATTTTCATTCTCCTGTTTTCCTTCCTCACCTTTGTTCTCAGTCTCCTGTTTTCCTTCATCGCCATTGTTCCCATTGTTCATGTTCTCTTGGTTTCCTTCCACGCCTTTGTTCCAGTTGTTCCCATTCTCTTGTTTTCCTTGGTCGCCTTTGTTCTCCTTATTCTCACTCTCCTGTTTGCCTTCCTCGCCTTTGTTCCAGCTGTTTCCATTCTCCTGTTTTCCTTCCTCCCCTTTGTTCCAGTTGTTCTCATTCCCCTGCTTTCCTTCCTCACTGTTGCTCAAGTTGTTTGCATTATCCTGTTTGCCTTCCTCGCCTTTGTTCCAATTTGTGTTCTCTTGTTTTCCATCCTCGCTCTTGTTCCAGTTGTTCTCAGTCTCTTGTTTTCCTTCCTCGCCTTTGTTCTCCTTGTTGTCATTCTCCTGATTGCCTTCCTCGCCTTTGTTCAAGTTGTTCTTACTTTCCTGTTTGCCTTCCTCGCCTTTGTTCAAGTTGTTCTCACTTTCCTGTTTGCCTTCCTCGCCTTTGTTCAAGTTGTTCTCACTTTCCTGTTTGCCTTCCTCGCCTTTGTTCAAGTTGTTTGCATTCTCTTGTTTTCCTTCTTCTCCCTTGTTCTCTGTATTTTCATTCTCTTGTTTTACTTCTTCTCCCTTGTTCTCTGTATTTTCATTCTCTTGCTTTCCTTCTTTTCCCTTGTCCTCTGTATTTTCATTCTCTTGCTTTCCTTCTTCTCCCTTGTTCTCTGTATTTTCATTCTCTTGTTTTCCTTCTTCGCCTTTGTTCTCTGTATTTTCATTCTCTTTTTTTCCTTCTTCGCCTTTGTTCTCCGTATTTTCATTCTCTTGTTTTCCTTCTTCGCCTTTGTTCTCCGTATTTTCATTCTCTTGCTTTTCTTCTTGGCCTTTATTCTCTGTATTCTCATTATCATGTGATGCTTCTTCCCCTTTCTTCTCGGTACTCTCATTTCCTTGCGTTGTATCTTCTCCCTTATTCTCTTTACCCTCATTTTCATGTGGGGTTTCTTCTCCTTTGTTCTCATTCTCTTGTTTTATGACCTCGCTGTTGTTTTCTTTATTCTCATTGCCCCGATCTTCGCCTTTGTGCTCTTCATTCTCATTCTCCTGTGGTGTTTCCTCACTTTTGTTCTCTTCATTCTCCTTCCTCTCAACCTCACCTGTAGTTTCTCCACCTACATTCTCATTATCCTCATTCTCTTCACCCTTTCCCTCACTCTTATCATTCCCTTGTGTGGTTTCTTCAGCTTTGTTCTCCTCATCTTCTTTCCCTTCACTATTCTCACCATCATTTCCATTATTTTCCTTGTTCACTTCATGATTCTCTTCGTTTTGCTCTTCATCGTTCCCCTCTTTACTTGCTTCCTCATTCTCTGCTATTTTTATCTTTTCATCACCATCCATCTCGTTCTCACTGTTCTCTTTGAATTCATCCTCCTTAACTCTTTCCTTTTCACCTTTCTCTCCTCCACCAGTTTCATTCTCCTTTCCCTCTTCTGTCTCTTTTGTGGCATCATTCACAGAAGTGTCTTCAAGCCCACTGTCTCCTTCTTCCGGCTTGTTTTCATCGTCAAAATGTGCACTTTCTTCTTTTGCATCCATATCCGTAGGTAGGAGATCCTTCCTTCCTAACTTGATAACGCCGCTGCCCCCATCTTGTTCCTTCAATGATGCCTTCTTTTCATGGGACTGCTGCACCTGGTAAAGCAGCCAGAAGCAAACTCCAAGCAACAGAGATATCTGCACTACATGCTTCACTTTGATCCCTCTGTTTCTCTGACCTCTTCGAGGCGATTGCTTAAACATGATCTCTTCACTTCAGCCCTAACCAGAAAAGCTCAAACTATATGTCCTGCACAGGTAGATACAGCAAGAAGGTCAAAGAAACATTTAGCCAGAGATATTGACAATTTGACAAACAACTACCTTCACCCATTAAAGTGTTCCTGGTTGATCAAATAAATCATAAACTACAAACAAATCACATTTACAATTGTTTAAGATGACAAATTCAAAAGCCAATACAGTTAAATCAGGGAATGTACACAGCATCAAACAAAAGACTGAACAAAAAATAAAATGTTAGTGAGCGATTGGCTTGGGATCTAATCAATCCTATGCCCAAAAAGGTCCTCTGTCCCCCAAACCATCAATACAGGCACATATTATGCATATGAGTTAATTTCCCAATACATCACCAATATTCAATTCACTTGGCATACATATAGCAGATCCTAAATTTTCACTTATTGTGTGATCTGGATCTAACTGAAACTACACAACAAACAAGACTAACCAAAATAAATAATGCGATAAAACAACACCAACACCTAAGGGATAAGATCATGGGCTAAGCTCGGATCAAGTCAACTCTATGCAGTAATCTTCAATGACGAGTGAACCGATAGTAAATCACAAACCTATGAATCTATTTTTGGTATAGAATCATGTCAAACAAACCACACTTCTATAAATTTCAGAATCGGAAAGAACCTAGAAATCAAACAGCAATACTCAAACACAATGAATCGACAGACTGAGTAAAACAGATTCAACATTTCCCCATCGCATTGCCAAGCTAATGACCAATTAAAAAAGGTTTCACGAGCCAAACCTGATGCCAGTAGCCACTTCACAGATCCACGTCTAACGGCAAAAGGTGCTTTTCAACGCTTAATAATTAAGATACAAGAAAAGTAACGAAAACCTTAAAAAAATCGCCTACAATTTCTTAAATACAGTGAAATCAGCTAATCTTTTCAACAGTATGCAACGAATATAAACATTGACAATCAAGTCAAATTCCAAGTGAAATCTAAATGGAAACTTCATAAAGCACGGAGCAATGCGAGATACTGCGCTTACTTTAATTCCCGAAGTAGATCTGGAATCTGCTGTGTACAGGTCCCCTTCCATATATATCCATACATACAAACATATATATGGAGAGAGAGCGACATACCGAGAGAGAGAGAGAGAGAGAGAGAGAGAGAGAGTTCTTCGTGGAGTCCCAATGCTGCGTTGATTCCACGCACTGGAATGCGCGTTGAAATCTATTCCGACCGACACCTCAAAACTTAAACTGCTTTTTTTTAATAAAATAAAATAAAACAAAACAATTATTATTTTTAATCCAGAGTATTTGATTTTAACGAAATTTTTGTATATTAATTTTTTTTAGTATTAATGATAACTATTTAAATTTTATAAATTAATAAGTTCAAACTAGAAAAAAGAAATGAAAACAAAAGGGTTGAATAATGGGCCTATAAAGGCCCAATTATCTTGTATTGGCCAATGGGCTTAGAATATTTGGGCTTATGGTTGGCCCATGTGTGTATTGATGAAAAACGGGCCGGCAAAACTCAAACAGAGAGGCTTTTAAGTCCAGCCCAGCCCAACCCAGTTTTTTTTTTATTATTTAAAATATAATTATAATTGTGTATTTTATTTTAAGTTGGGTCAAATCTAGATCAAGCACTAATCCTTAAATATAGCCCATTAGTTTTAATTGTTTGCTTAGACGGATTTGGATTAATGTTATTTTAAATGACTCATCAAATTTAATATTTTGGCTTACAGAACGATTAATTTCAAATATGGAAAATTAGCCGTCAATTAAGGCTGCGGATCTGGTGCTGAGAATTCTAAAATTTATTTTAGAATAATTTTAGGATAAGTAATACTGAAATATCTCTCAAAATAAGTGTAAATGAAAATACAATGCAATAAAAGTACTTATTATTGATCTATAAGAAAAATTTACAATTCTAATAGTTCCGCTGATGTGACTTGCAGATCGAAAATATAATGAATTAAAAGTAGCAAAATTTTGCAATATATGTTGTCATGAATAATAATAATAATAATAATAATAGTCTCTCTATTTTAAATAATTCAGATATGCTTTTAACAACCATATGCATATAGATACATTACCATCAATGCGGATTTGGACAAAATTGTCCGTGCAAATGTAAATTAGATATGTGGACCATAATTAATTAATTAATTTATAGGTGCATTGCATTGCATGAATGAATGAGTGTAATAATAATAATAATAATAATAATATTAATTAGGGTCTTTTCGTTTAAGGTTTGAATTTTGAGTTGAGATTTGAATTGGAATAATTGTACGATGTAATATAAATAAGTGTTGATATGATGCTTTAAATATAAAATTAATTTTTGGTATAATATAAAAAATAAAATATAAGTATAATTTGATATTTTTAAGAAAAAAAAATTGATGTATAATAAAATTTGTGGGAAATTTTCCAAACAACAACACCCATAATGTAAGATGCATTTGGGGTGTGTTTGTTTGGGGGTTTGGATTTTGAATTGGGATTTGAACAGTAAAAATTTTGAATTTGAATAGTTATATGATATGATATAAATAGGGTTTGATGTGATGTTTTGAATGTAAAATTGATTTTTAGTATAATATAAAAAATAAAAAATAGGTGTTTGATTTGATGTTTTTGGGGGGAAAAAAATTGGATGAATAGTGGAAATCCACCAAAATCCTTCAAACAAACACACCCTTGGTAGAAAGTTAGAGCTGACGTGGAAAGTAAGTTTAGTTTGAAGATTTGCTTGAATTATAATATAACATACATTTGATTAAAAATAATTTTAAAAATAGGCATTGTGAAGATTTTAAATTTTATATTTCAATAAAGTATATTATATATGAATATCATTGTTTAGGTAATTAAATTTTATATAATATAAATAACATAAAATTAGTCTATAAAAAATAAATAAATTTATATATTTACGAGAGAATAAAAATATAAGATCATAAGTGGATAAAACGAAAAAATAATTGAGATATTTCAAAGTAATAAACAAATAGACCCTTTTAGAGTAGCCACAGCTGTGTTTGGTTTGTGTTTTGTAGATTTCATTTTTTAAATGAAATAGTATCAGATTTGTTTGGTGTTAGATTTGAATTTATAATTAATATAATATCATAACTAAATATTATTTAAATAAAAAATTTAAATTCAAAAAAAAAAAAAAAAAACAAACAAACAAACAAATCCAGCTTGAACATATCCAATGAATTGTAGAATCAATGAATGCAATGTGAGATGGATCATCTGTGGTGTTTCTATAATTTGGACAACCTTGACCTCACCCCCATTTAATTCTAACCAAATATTATTTATTTATTTATTTTATTATTATTATTATTATTATTATTATTATTATTTGTCCAAATCCATCTGCATGTAAATAGTTACTATTCATTATATTCAGTGAAATGTATATATATATATATATATATGTTTAAATCTTGACATTTAGTTTTAGTGCCCTATTTTCATTTCTTTTGTTAATCTACAATTATTATTTGGGTCAGCAGTTTCTTTGTAGGCCACTTAAAAAGCGTAATTTGCGAGTTTTATTTATATTTATAATTTTTAAATTATTTATAAAAAATAAATATTTATATAATATTTTAAATTATAAAAATAAATTTTAAAAAAAAATATTTATGAATTGAGGGTTTGAATTTATAACTTTATGGTTTTGTAAGTTTTTCTTTTTTCTATTTTTAAGCAAAATAATAATTGAATATAGAATTTCATATAAGAAATAATTAAAGATAATATTACCCCAATATCAAAACAATATTACTAAAATATTATTACAAATGAATTCACATTCACAACTTGTTTACTATTTTTGTCCGCTCCTTAGTAATTATTTCTCCTCTTCTTCTTCCTCATTTTAATGTAGAGTTTAATAAATATCATAGTTTAATGATAATTGTAAGTATTTTTATCTTCATTTAAATCTATATTTATTTTTCTTTTTGAGTGAAATAAAAATGTTGTTTCTTTTAACAAAAAATTCTTTTACTTTTTTATACTTTTTTTACTACAAATTAAAATACATGGTCAAATATTCGAGCACACACAATTTTTTATTAAAATACCATTTGGACGATGGAAGAAGTATTTTATTTAAGATGTAATAACATCAATATAGAATAAGTATAAGTTAATTTAAAGGTATATGCAATACCTTGTAGGGTCTATTCTTATTAAAAATAAATTTTGATATATGTGAATAAACAAAAATGGTAAATTAACATTTTGAGATAGAAGATAGTGATAGTATTATTCTTTCAAATATATTGTGTTTAAAATGTTCTTGAAGTTGGGAGTTTTTTTTAAAATAATAATAATAAAAAAAATTAAATAATAAAGAATTAAATATTTAAATGTGATATTTTGTAAATAACAATAATAATAATGAAAATATTTTATATAATATATTTTCTTAAAGAATATTATTAATTACATAATATTAAAAAAATTTAGGTAAAATTGCTTATAACTGCCATGTGGTTTCAAAATTCAGCGTAAAATTTTTCTATATTTTAAAAATTGCATGGTACCCCCTTATACTTTAAAAAACGTGGCATGAAACCCCACTACCATGGAACTTTCCTCGTGTAACAAGAAGATGATTTTTTATCTATATGATTTGCATGGCAGGGGGGTTTTATGCAATATTTTTGAAAGTATAAGTGAGCGTCATGCAATTTTTTAAAGTAAAATGAGAATTTATGCTGAGTTTCGAAACCACAAAGTAGTTTTATGCAATATTTTTTAAAGTATAAGGGGATGTCATGCAATTTTTAAAATAAAAAGAGAATTTACGATGAGCTTCGAAACCGCAAGAGAGTTATGAACAATTTTGCCTTAATAATATAATATAGCAATCTTGATCATTAATTGTAAACTTGAAAGTGGCAATGCGTATCATATATAATCATATATCGAGTGCAAGACGAAACTTGCCCATAAAAGGGGCCCAATTTTTTAAAAGCAAATGGTTGGCTTATTTGTTGTTTGTTTTGGTTTTTGTATTTTAATTTTTGTTAGAATAGTAATTTGTATTTAATATTTTACAAGAATATCTTTATAAGAATAACATCCATGCATATTCAATAAATTAAATCAAATTCTAAATAAATATACTTAAGAGTATCAAACTGAAATTGAAGTAATATATATAAATCCAATAATAATAATAATAATAATTGACTAAGTCCCTTTCAAGAATTCAATGTTAAGACAAGAGATAGAAAAAAACGTGATAGGTTCCTCAGCTACTGCATTCCATATCGTATATTACTATTCCATCTCAATCATTATTAATTTTACTCAATTTATTTGTGAGAATAATAAAATTTTAAATTTAAAATATATATGGTATGATATTTTTAATGAAATTGTTATAATATACTCCCTCCGTCGCGGATAAATTGTCCGCGTTACTGTAGATACCGGAATTTAGGAGGGGTATAATTAATAAATAATTAAAAATATATTAGTGAAAATAATTATCGTATAATAAAAATAATTATAGATTAAAATTAAGATAATTGATTAATATAATTAAAATTAAAAAAATTATAAATTAAATTTTTAAAAATAAGATTAAAGTGTAGAATTACTTTAAAAAAAAGAAAAATAACAAAATAAGTAGGACGGACGGAAATGAAAAGGTGAACATGAGAAGTGGGACAGATTGAGTATTAAATAAAAAGACTAATCTAATCTGATAATTTTTGTAAGAAAATCATAAATAATGTGATATTAGATCCACATCTTAAAAGAAATTTCAAAATATGTTTAAAGGCATCATTCATCAATCAATTAATCTATTAGTATTGTGTAATATAAAAGTAATGATATTTGTGTAATATAGTGTAAGTTGGAAGAGTATTTATATGTAGTACAATTACTAAATTAGGAAACGGTAACCTTGTTTTGGGACGAAAGAAAATGAAAAATAGCAACATTTCAATAGGACAGATGGAGTAGTTTTTATCTATTTATATACAATTTGTCCCTTCAAAATTATCTAAATTCATATATAATTATATCATTATTTTTTATTTAAATTTATTAATTAAATATTAAATAAATTATAACATTTTGACCCTCGAAATTTAGAGGCTAGTTCCGTCACCGATTATCCTTATAGTTTATATCCATGTTTGTGTTTTGTTTATATATTTTTGTTTAAATAATAATTAAATTTTTATTAAAAATAATAATTTTTTAAAAAAACATCTAAAAATAGAAAAGTCATTTTATTTATTCAAAATAGTTCAACAAGGACCTCCATATCACGTTACCATTTTTTTTTTACTTTTTTTTATCAAGAAAGTAAATTTTTTACTTTTATCTATTTTTTTAAAAATTTATACCCGATTAAACGAACGCACAATTGAATAACAAATGAAGTATTATATATACAATACATGATTTGGAATTAAAATAATATAAATGAAGTATTATATATACAATACATGATTTGGAATTAAAATAATATGTATTGAATTATATTAACAGGTTATATGTGTTAAGATTAACGATACATACTGTTGTCATACAATGTTAATATTTTATTATATTATCGTATAATAATTTTATATTGAAATAATTATAACATATATGATATATTGTATATATAATATACTTTTTACAACCTGCTGTTAGTTAATGCAGATTAAACTACCTGCAACCGTCGCCTATTACCAAAATATTCTGAATCAAATCGAATATAAATCCTTTGGTAAGGACCATCGGCCTAGAGCTTTTAATGATCCGAGCCAAATTTTAAGTGTTTGTTAACGTTTGTGAACAAAGTTTGTGTTCGTTTTGGTAAGCTTTCGAGCTCGGCTCGTTAAGAATTTTTGTTGTTTGAGCTTGTGTTCGTGTTTGGTATCGATTAAGCTCGTTCGAGCTCATTTGACTTATTTTTTATTTATTTATAAATTATAAATATATATATAATATTTATAATAAATATATTATTTAAACGAACATTCGCAAACAAAGCTCGGACTCGTTTGTTAACCAAACGAGCTTGTTTATGTTGTTCGGCTCAGCCCATTAACGTTTGCGAACGAGCTTTAACCGAGCCGAATCGAGCCGAGTTCACGAACGACTCGGTTCGTTTAACAATTTTACCTCGGCCTAATATTTGTCCCCGCAGGATCGAGATATGTGTTTTAATTTAATTTAAATAATTTTTTTAATAATATAATAGTATATTATAAAATTATGTAAATAATATCATTAAAAAAAAAAAAACAAAGAAAATAATTAGAATGACAAAGTAAATAAGGCATGGAATTTTATGGAAGAACAAGTGTAAGAATGGTGGTCCAATGGCCACGTCGACAGGTACTGGAAATTTGGGTAAGCCTGCCCTGCCAACTGAGCCCAGATATGAATTGGGCCCACCAAATGGGACCCACAATCCTACCACTGTTGGCCCACCAATTTTTATACTTCCAGAACATAATTGTGCCGACGGATAATTATCTTTTTTTCTTTTTTGAAAGTATTAAAAAAAAACTTTTTTTTTAAATAGAAATCAGAGGTATTTTGATAATTAAATATAATTATTTTTATTATGATTTAAAATAAATAATTTTTACTAATTAGTCTAATTAAAATTTAAAAAATTATATAATATTTTTTTAAAAAAGAAAAGTGAAAAAACGAAAATAGAATTATAACATTAAATATGGAATATAAAAAGTAATACTCCTTCCGTTCCATTGAAAGGTTGTCATTTTCCATTTTCGTCCGTCTCAAAACAAGATTACTATTTCTTAATTTTGTAATTGTACTACATACATAACATAATAAATACCCTTCCAACTTATACTGTATTACACAAATGTCATTGCTTTTATATTACACAATACTAATAGGGGTATTTTTGTCCTTTTCACTACAATCCGTTATAATACTAATATTCAAAAATCTACGTGCAAAAAGCAAACACCACCCTTATTCCGGGACGGAAGAAGTATTTATATTGAATATTTGACTTTATGTAAAATAATGTAATATGTATATATATATATATATTATATATTGATAATTATACGACTAAATTGCACAAAATCAATCCGTAATTTTATGAAATTGCACCAAATCCTCCATATTTTTAAAACCGTACAAAACTTTCTCGTGGTTTCATAAACTTTGCGTCTAACCCCCTTAGCGGTCCTTATTTAACGGTATTTGACCTAAATACGCTCAAACTGCGGATAAATTTTAAAATCTCAATTTCTAAACCCCTAAAATTACAAATAATATTTATTTTTTTATATATTCAGCCTAAAAAATAGTATAAATAAATTCTTGAAAACCTGGGAAAAATAACTATTTTTTTGAGTATATTTACTATTTTTTGAGGGTAAATATAAAAAAAATAAATATATTTGTAATTTTAGGGATTTAGAAATTGAGATTCTAAAATTTATTCGCAGCGCATTTAGGTCAAATATCGTTAAATAAGAACCGTTGAGGGGGTTAGACGCAATGTTTATGAAACCACGAGGGAGTTTGACGCAGTTTTAAAAGTACGGGGAATTTTGTGCAATTTAGCTTAATTATAATGATAAGAAGTTAATTGAATAAACAAACTCATTATATGTTTATTCAAGCATTAAGTAGACAATATTCCATTCATCAAAACAATAAAATGGAACTTTCAAGTACAATTTGAAACCATACAAACCAAAAATTGTGTTCTTTTAAATTTTAAAATAAATATTTTTATTCACATAATAAATTAAAACAGGCAATACCAATTGAGGAAAAAACACATCCTTTCATATACATACCTTCCAAGTAGCAACAATATATATATATATATATATATCATTATCTGATTCGAAAATCCTGTGACGGAGTCCCAAATTCGGAACAAAAGGATGAGGTTTAATAATTGGCGGGAACACAGCCATCAATGAAAGTACAGCAACATTTATATATATAATAAAAAATAATAAATAAAAAAAAAAGGGTCCATTGACGGCTTAGTATGAGCTGTATGGAAAGGTGACGTTTCTCGATAGTCGATAACAGCAGCAGCAGCAGCTCTTTTATTTCTTTTATTTTCTCGACTATAAATACACTCTCATTTCCTCATTCTTTCTACACACATCCTTTTTTATATATAATTATCCACTTTCATCGATATATCCTTTAAATAATTATATATATATATTTATTGTATTAATTAAGAAGGCATGGCATTGGCATTGGCATTGTGGAGGTGGTGCATTGCGGCGGCGCTGCTCTTCTCCGCCGCGTCCGGGCGGCCGGCGACGTTCTCGCAGGACTTCCGGATCACGTGGGCCGACTCTCATATTCGGGAGCTCGACGGAGGAAGAGGCATTCAGCTCACCCTCGATCAAGGCTCAGGTAGGCATACTCTGTTTCTTAACAAATTATTTATTTATTTTATTTTGGTTGTCTCGTAATAAAATATTTTTTTTATTTTTTAGTAACTGTATTATTTACATAATGTTACAAATATCTTTAAGTATTACATAAATGTCATTGTTTTTATATTATATAGTACTAAAAATATTTTAGTCATTTCTATTTTATTTTTGCTTTATATCAATATAATACTGATACACATAAAATTCTGCACACAAAGTAAATAAATATTTAATTATGATTAAATATATAAACTTATTTTTTTACTCAAATATTTGTTTAATATAATATTTCTTTTGTCCAGGATAATTATATATTTTTTTTATAGGCTAAACTTATGTATTCATCCACAGGCCACAATTTCATTATTTTCACAATTTGGTACTACTTTTTTACATATTTCACTATTTTATTGTTATTTTTTAATACTCTCTCCGTCCATAAATATAGTCTTAATTGGGTTGGACACAAAATTTAAGAAATATTGATATTATATTGATAGTTGGTAAAAATTATGGATAAAAGACTTTTTTGTCCTTGTGAGTGTATTAGTGTAAAAAATAGTGACAATTGTGTAATAAAAATAAAAAGTAGTGATAGTTTTATGGTGATATAGTTATTTATTGAAATAAGACTATTATTTTAGGATGGACAAAAATGGTAAATAACACTATTGTATTGGGACGGAAGGAGTAAGATTTTTACAATACCTTCGTTTTATTATTATTATTATTTTACATATTTTACATTAAGATACTATTTTTTATTACTTTTTGGGTGTGTTTGTTTGAGGGATTAGATTTTATATCCACTATTCATTCCATTTTTTCCTCCAAAAACATCAAATCAAACACCTATTTTTTATTTTTTATATTATACTAAAAATTAATTTTACATTCAAAACATCACATCAATACCTATTTATATCACATCATACAACTATTAAAATTCAAAATTTTTCCTATTCAAATCCGAACTCAAAATTCAAACCCCAAACAAACACACTTATGTACATATATTGTGATATAAATAAAACGGATGAAATAAAAATTATATAAAAGAAATAATATATATTCATTAAAAAAATAAAAAAGAACAAAATGTCAATGAAAAATGATCCAACATTAATTATATACTTGTTTAATTTGTTCCGCCCATATTAAATAAATGTGAAAAAAATAAAATTGTAGTAGATTAAAAAATAATATTGTTTTAGTCCGTCAATTTTATTTTTATTTTTATTTTTTACTCCGTTCTTTAAATTTGTTTTATTTTTATTTTTATTTTTTACTCCGTTCTTTAAATTTGTCTTATTATTAATTTTGGAAAAATTAGTTAATTAATATTTAACTATTATTCTTATTTCAATATTTATTTACAACAAATATCAATATTTTTATTATATTTTTTTATTTTATTTAATTTCTAACTAAAATTTTAAAAATATATGCAACCGTCTTTTTACTTTTATTATTTTTTTAATAAAATATTATTCTTTTTAAAAATCTCTATGCATGATCCAAAAGTGCAAATTTTACGGATAAAGAGAATAATATTCTATTGATGAATAGATTGACATAAAAGGAAATTATCGATAACATTTATGTATAATGTAAGAATGTTAATAAAAATAAGAATGCAAGTAAATTGATAATTAGATACCGACAATATATATACTAAAATAAAAATATCCTACTTAAGGTTAACAAGCCAAATGATGAGCGTGTCTATTCACTTGAGACGAAGAGAATAGTAAATTTAACATAAAAATATTTACGTATTTATATCGTAACGTAATATATACACACATATTAATTCATTTTTTTACGATTATTTAGGATGCGGATTCGCTTCCAAGTATCAATATCTTTACGGCCGAGTGAGCATGAAGATCAAGCTCGTCCCCGGCGACTCGGCCGGAACAGTCACCGCCTTCTACGTATACATTTATATGTATTACCGATTAAATTCCTATGTACATCAATTATTAAGACATATAGCAACTAATTGTCAGTCTTATGTTGTAATAGATGAACTCGGACACGGACACGATACGAGACGAGCTCGATTTTGAGTTCCTAGGAAACCGGTCGGGCCAACCCTACACGGTCCAAACGAATGTCTATGCCCACGGCAAAGGCGATAGGGAGCAACGGGTCAACCTATGGTTCGACCCGTCCCAAGATTTTCACGAGTACTCGATTATGTGGTGCCATAGTCGAGTCATGTAAGATTTATAAATTTTATCATAAATATTATTTTATAAAGAATAATTTTTTTTATTACAGTTTCTCAGTGTCATATAAAACTCATTTATTTTAAATTAAATTAAAAATATATATTTTTATTATAAATATCATTTCATAAATAATAAAATTTTTTATTACAGCTTCTCAGTAGACCAAGTCCCGATCAGAGTGTATAAGAACAACGAGGCTATAGGGATCCCATTCCCGAAATCCCAACCAATGGGAGTTTACTCGACTCTATGGGAAGCCGACGATTGGGCGACGAGGGGAGGCATCGAGAAGATTGATTGGAGCAAGGCGCCGTTTTACGCTTATTACAAGGATTTCGACATCGAGGGATGTCCGGTGCCGGGGCCCGCGGGGTGTCCATCGAACCCCAACAATTGGTGGGAGGGCCCGACCTGCAAGGTCCTGAGCCCGGAGGCGGCTAAGCGCTACCGGTGGGTGCGGACCAACCATATGATCTACGATTATTGCACTGACCGGAAACGCTATCCGGTTCCCCCGCCGGAATGCTCTGCCGGAATTTGATCTCTGGCCGTCGGATGAGACACCATGATCATTATCATCGGAAGGTTGGAAATGTGCATGCTGTTTAAAGACATTATGTGGTTCACACGTGCATGTCGTTTTCTTACGTTTAAACTGTTGTTTTTCTTTTTGTTTGTTTATTTTACATGTGATTGATGTTCAATTGTATTATTTTTTTTAAAAACTTATATGCTTTGCTGCTTGGTTTCTTAAAAACAAAAAAAAAAAAAACATTGTAATGATAATTATTATCTTATTGTGTATTGTTGGTTAATTGTATCGATTATTTAATTAACTAAGTATTATTATTATTATCTTTTGTCCTTTCAATAATTCTAGCGGTTGTTCAAGTGAGTTGATAAGGTTCTATGTCTTCTAATGATATATTTGAAAATTTTGATAATACTTATTAATAATATTTTCTTGAAATGTTATTATACCAAATACTTATTTATTTTAATAAAATACTATATAAAATATTTATTTTTAAATTTAAATTTTTTAATATTTTAAGATTAAAAAAGATCTATATGAAGGAAGATTTATTTATTTATGTAAAAATAAAATAAAATAAGAGGGAAGATACATGGATTGGAAATGATAAAAATGAGGCAAAAGTAGACCCCATGGATATTAGAGACAACTTGACCTGCAAAATTCAGACAAGTAGCTAGCTAGCTAGCAATGTTGGCTAAAATTCATTACTAATTTTGTCGTATGCATCCAATTTAAACTATTTGTTGTCTTGCATATGGCACGATTCTAGGAAATGATAACTGTATATATATATATATATTTCTACGTGGAAATTATTTTCAATAATAAAAATATATTATCACATCTATTTATCTACTCAATTTATACAGTTTCTAAAACTCACGTTATTGAGGAGAACAATTTTTTTTTTTTTGAATCATTATATTGTTATTAACGTAGATGAATTGGATATACATGGCAATTTTTTCTATACGAAAAAAGGGGAAAAATTCCATAAATGTCGGCAGTTACAATGCTGAACAGCACACTAATATCTAGCAAATAACACACGATAATGCTAGTAACAACACATTATTTATATTAATATAATACAAATACAAATAGCTAACAAAAAAAAACACCCGGTAATATTAGTGACAACGCATCAATTTATATTCATATAAACAAAGGCGTCTCAGACAACACATGCATTTCAGCACATATATATACACTTGTACAACACAAGTGTAATTATAAACAAACAACACATGTAATTATTTCAAACAACACGTGCTATTTTTTGTATTTTATAAGTGCTAAAATCAGCACCGTAACCTTCCCGTTAACCACAAAATGAAATATTAGCACCACATATATACATTATATAAACTATTACTCATTTACGATCAATTTATTCGATATATTTTTTATATAAATCATGTAAGCTAAAAAAACTACATTAGACAAATCCTGTATGGCCAAGAAAACATTGGCAGAATTCGAATCAACGACCTTGCTTTACGATAACAATACCATACCAATTCGACAACCGTAAAAATGTTTGAGAAATTCCGATAAACTAAAATAACACACCCAATTTTCTAAATTCAAAAGAATCTAACATGACTTGATTAGCAGAAACAATTGTTTCAATGGGTAATGATTCTTGCCTGATGTAATGCAGGGGAATATATTACTTCATGCCGAGCTTGACGGCAACGGGATCCGAACAGTACGGGCAATTTCCAAACAGAACATCGAATGACCTAAAATGAAATGCAGTTCCAAACTTTGACGATGATCGAGTGAGTAAAACGAAAACAGCATACAGTCTTATATGCAAGAACATCGAAGATGTAATAAAAGGCCAACTATTAGTACAAACATACCGTCTTGTTGTTGTAATGGAACGAAGCCAATCAACGAGACAAATGGTGTGGAATGCACGATTACAGTGTGCATTTTCGCAGGTATAATCAGTTGCACTCCCGCTCTTAGCGCCAAGCTCGTCGTCTAGGACAACATAAACAAGTATAGGATGTGGACAAAAATGTTGGTCCAGATTTGCAATAACTATTAGAATCGACGATTATCCTTACCTATGGGAAGATATTGAGAATAACAAATGCCACACTCGACTTGCTCCTTGTTCTTTTCGGCACACGGTTGTTGGAGCGACGGAGAATCAAATACATGTTCGAAATTTTCGGGAAACGGCTTGCCTCTATCCCTATTAATTACCAAACAAAAGTTAATAGAGAAGGAATCGAGAGAGACTTCAAATTGAATGGTATTTAAGACAAACATTTGCAAGAAAATATTATCCCAAAATTACGATACCATCTTTTGCTATTTCTCTTCCACATTTTCATTAGAGTGTTGACTGCGGCATCTGAGCCGAGGAAGCGACACCTGTAAGATTAGAAGCAAAGTTATGTAAGGAAGTTTCGAGGGCAATTTTTGGAAAAGATATCATCAAAGATCAACTGCAGAGAATCCTACTCGGGTAGAGATAATGGATCATCAACATTAATGGAGACGACGACATAACAATCGTGTCCTTCAAAAAACACAGAATTAAAACAAAAACAATAATAAATTTAACAAAAATTTGATGAATAATGGCTAACCAATTTTGATATGGCGTGATGATGCAGCATGGTGTGAGTTTATTGGCTCGGTTACAAGAAACCGATCAATATCATCCATAGTGGTCGAAAAGTCATGGAGCTGATCTACGTGCTACGGCAAAGTAGATTATATTCAAGTAAAAAAATAAAATAAAATAAAATAAAATAAAAAAACATCTAAAGGAGATCTACCCTTTGAAATTGTTGCACGACATCTCTTAGCTTTGATTTCGGGAACCACTCGAGATTAAAATTATAAGGCAATCCCTAAATCACATCCGGACCAATGTTTTAATTACTAATTTCCAACTTAGAGATGAATGAAACAAGAGGCGGTGGAAAAGAACAAACCACAGATACTGAAGGAGGGCGTCGAGGATATGTCTCATCCAATGTTATCTCCAGAATATGTTGTCTTCCTTTACTGTCCCTGGCAAAACCACCACTAACAAGCGACAACTACAACCTTAAAACTGAAAATTTATTTGTTAATAAATACGAGTTGAAAGAAGAATTTGATTTACTTTAACAAGTTCAAACATGAAAGCTCGCCGAATTTGGCATCAACTGTTGAACATATACTTAATGCCATACTACATTAATATATTTCTATAAATCTCGATAGATCGACCGATAGATAGACTCGACTGGCATTAGGCGCAGAATTAAAAACTGCAAAAAAAACGCTTACATGACACGGAAGCAAAGGAAAGTTAGATCGTTTCCCAGTCTCACGAGGTTCTCCCATCCAACCTCTTCTATCTGCAAGAATACATAAATTCACCCTGCAAATTGTCAACACGAATTACAAATAACAGCTCTATGTTACAATGCATTTTCATTTTTCACCAAAACATCAAACACCTTATTAACCAAATATTGATTTTGCAACATCAACATTTAATTTATCTTCATATCCAACAATTCAATAATGCATTAAGTTTAATGTTTTCATATTCACAATCCTATCTTGAATGTCGATTAATCTCTCGCAACGATCATGATCTGGTTCAGTAAATTTCTTTACGACTGAATACGCAACCTTTCAGCAGATTCAGCAGAATTACACCATAGTTCAACTAAAATTATCAAGATTAGATCTGATTTAACCACAATTCTAGTTAAGTCCATTTTTTTATACTACTATCAATGGCAATTGTCATATATATATATATATATTATATAACAAACAATTCACTACACAATGATAATTCAAACAAATCAGATTACACTATTTCTCCATTGAAGCTCCTTCACAGCGAGAAAAAACATTAAAAAATACCTCCGAGTATATCCGGCGGCAAAATGATGACGACATTGCAAGCTCCCGACATCTACTACGGTCAATAATTTCCTACAATCCAGCATAAAATTTCTTACTCAAATCTACAGCATTACATTGCAAAAATTAAACCAATACTGAAATCTCACCATCTCGATGTCCATTCTTGCTCCCTAAACCATTCCGCTCAAACAAACATACAGCACCGAGCAAAAACCTAATCCATTCTTGATAATAAATAGAATCCCAAAATCAAACATCTTATGAGCATTAACAAAAGAAAATGAAAAATCATTAAACGGGCGTGTTGGAATCAACACTCCCGTGTTCAACCTCAAAACACGAATACGGGAGTGATTAAGAGCGAGATTACCTCACCAATCGATTCAAGGGTCGGAAATAGAAACAGAAACAAGAGCAGGAGTCGATGGCGGAGATTGGGGGTTGAATCGGCGGAGCGACGGCCGGTTGGGAAGGAGAAGAGACAGCGGGACGGCGTGCGGCGGAGTCGACGCCGGCGGAGGGGCAGTCGGTCGGAGGCGGAGACGAGGCGAAGGGGTTGAAATCGTGGTGGAGATGGTGGCAGGGCGGCTGTAATCGCGATGGGTGAGGGAGGTGGGTGGCGGTTGGCGAGGCTGGTGGCGGCGGCGCTGGACGAGTCGACGGCGGCGGTCTATCGGAGAACGAGAGGGAGAGCGGCAAAGAGAGACGAAGTGAGAGGGTGATGGCTGCGCGTGAACTTAACGGTATTTTAGGGCAAGACCGGTCTGGGTAATTGAGTAGAACACGGGCGTGTTCGCGTTCTATTCTAGTTCGATGGCTGATGAACTGTATGGTTAAATACGATTGCGTTCTATCTAAAACGGCCGTGTTTGAATAAGACTGACAATAATTTTTTCCCTTAAGAAAATGAAATCTTTTCAGTAACTAAGCAATCTTCAGCCGGGCCGGGCCTTCAATTGGGCCGAAATTAACCGCTCATGGGCCCAACTTTAAACTTTTACCGTAATACGGCTTTTTCAAAAAAAAAAAAGGTGGGAAAAAGCGGGAGTTGGATACGTCACGTGGGGCGTGGCCCACAGGTCCCGAAAAAGATGAGCATCTCATGCCCATTATCCTTCTATCTTCTTCTTCATTTTTTTTTCCTTAAAATTTTTAAAGTGAAACAAAACGAAAACTTTTCAGTCCCTTTCACATAATATTTGTTCCATGAATTTTAGATAATATAAATTGAAAAGATCCACAGCAAGAAAATAATTTAATATATATAATATATAATATATATGTATATCATTTAATATATTTTTGTGTTCTATTTAGAGTATTTTTTTTACTATTTATAATCAATATATCTATTTTGTCTTTATTGCAAATCTTTAATAAATATAATTTTTATATATTTAATAAAGATTTATTAGATAGTGAACTTATGACGGTAAAGTTAAAACTTTTGTGTCTTTCGATTATATCTATGTCATTGTATGTTTTTATTTATTTATATCTATATTTGTTGATTATTATTTATATTGAGTTTGTTTATTTTGTATTTCTTTATTAACAAATTTTTTATATTAACTATAAAAAATTATGTTAAAAATATAAAAAATTAATATTTTTTATTAAATAATTAAATTTTTGTAAATAGATAAAATATATTATATATTGTTTAAATCATGCGACTCAAAAACACTATACTCCATGTTGTTGTATTTTGTGTAGAATCGTATAATGAATCACTAATTATGTGTTTGGTACAGATAAATGAGGCCAGAAAAATTAAAATGGTTTCATTTTTTTTGTTTTTTTAGTCAGAGAAATAAAACTTTTCATTTCTATTTCTTGTTTTATTTCCCTCTCATATGCAGAGAAATTGAGAAAAATGATATTGCAGTATTTTTTTTTTCTTCTTTGTACTATTTAATTTATATACTTTTTAAAAAATTATATTCTTTTAATTTTACAAAAATCAAATTTAATTTATGGTTAAAGTATTTAATTTTTATGATTTTTTAAGAAATTGTACTAAAATATAATATTAAAAAACACCGTATATAATTTATATTTTTTATAAAAAAAAATCAGCAAAAATATTTTTTTATGAATTTTCATTCGTTAAAACTTTTTTCTTTTTATCCGGTTAATCATTTATTCTTATTTGATTCATTCATATAGCTGCATTTTTTTTACATTTTTCAATTGAATTCTCTATTTTACCGAATAAGAGAATTAATTTTCATTCTCTATTCAATTTCATTTCCCTCCAATTGCACACTCTACTCTCGTTTATCTCAATTTCATACGCGAGCATATTCTTGTTTCTTTGTTATGGAATTTAACTTTTAAGTTTTGAATAATAAAATTTTAAAATTGAAATAATGATTCTATGGGATATAAATAAATATTAATTTAATATTTTAAATATGAATTATAAAAATAATTATTTAATTATATTTTTTTAAAATAAAATTTTCTATAAATAAGGGTTTGAACCTACATTCAATGGATGCTTGACTTCAATATATTAATGAATTAATTACAAGATTTATGTAAAGAGACAAAAACATGTGACCCAACTCCCATTGTGTCCTGAAACCCATGCATTCATTAATTAATCATTTCATTCCCACATACCCACATTGCATTAATTTATTATTATTGTTTATTTTATTTTTTCATCGGATGATTGTCGACATTAATCTCCACTACCACCATTAACAATAATAAAATTAAATAATCCATCCGTCATTACAGTGATCCATTTACTCTAGATACAAAAATTTAAAAAAAGATATAATTAGTTAATAATTTAAAATATATTAGTAAAAATAATTTTTTGATTAAAATAATTAATTAATATAATTAAAATTAAAAAATTATAAACTAAATTTTTTTAAATGAAATTAATTTATATAATTTTTGTAGAAAAAAAAAAATTACATACTAAGCGAGACAGACAAAAAAAAAATAATAATAAATTAAAATGGTGGACATGATAACTGAATCACACATTAATTAACAAGAAGAGACCAAAGATCACTAATTTCCTAAAATTAAAATTAAATATTTGCTTAATATTTACCACATTATAATTATAAAAAAAAAAAAGTTAATTAACAAGCCGCCGATTGATTTGTGTAGAAGTGCGGCTTTGGAGCCGCCACGAGATACGAACGAGTTTCCGGCGCGGCGGCGCCGCCACCTCCGCCGTCGATTCTTTCGCAAGAAGGACAGATGGTGAGCGTCGCGGCCGCCGGCAGCTTCATGTAGAGCGGCGGCGATGGTTTTAAAGCTCTCAGCTCTTGCAGCTCCTTCTGCAGCCGCTGATTCTCTTCCGACAAAGCCTCGCAGCACTTTTTAAGAAACTCACAGTCTACTTCTGTCTGCTTCAATTTCGTCCTGTAATAATCCGATATAGAAATAAATTAATTTAATTTAAATTAAATTAAATCAGATATATATTTATTTACTTTTTAGGGAAAAAAGAAACGTTAATTTGGGTTTCTGCGTTTTAATTTTTTGGAAAAAGACGGTGAAATTTGTAGCCGTAGATTTAGTGGAGATGGATTAATGAAGGGTCAGGATTGAACCTTGCTCGCCGGTTCTGGAACCACACCTCGACCTGCCGGGGCCGGAGCTGGAGCTCCCGGGCCAAGTCTTGTTTTTGTTTCTGACAACAATAGGATACCAAAATTAGAAATTCGCATTAATTATTTTAATAATTAAATTCGACGGAATTAAGGATGTTCGAATTACAGGGTTGAGAGTACTGTGGCGTTTGAAGCTTTCTTCTAGAAGGTCTGACTGGGCTTTACTGAGTCGGAGCTTTTTTCTTCCATTGGATCCGTCGTCGTCGCTGCCGCCGCCGCCGCCAATTTCTCTTTCTCTCTTGACAGTAGTGACGAAAACGACGTTGGAGGATGAGGCGGCGCTGTCTTGGCGGCGATCGTTGTAATTGCAATAAGAATCGGCGGCGGCGGCGGCGGAATTGTTGGTCAATTTGAGATCGAGGCTGAGGGTCAAAGGGGGGTCGAATTTAGGGGTGGAAGTTGTAGGTGTGTAATGGGGGTGGTGATGATTAGTGAGTCCTCCTAAGCCTAAAATGAGGGCTGTGTTGCAGAGATCGTCGAAGCCCATCTTTCATTGATTGACTAATTAATTTGGTGTGAAAATGGGTGTGGTTGTTGAAGTGTGTGTGTGTATATATTGACTCGGGGAGAGAGGGGGGGGGGGGCTGATTTCTTGGATTCTGTATTATAGTTTGTCTCTGTACGGACACAATACCTAGGGTGTGGGGTGGGGTGGGGATAAAACTAAGATGGAATTGAAGCTTGGAAAAGTAGGAAAAAGGCATTGACAAGAAACACAAAGTCAATAATAATAATAATAATAATAATAATAATAATATGGGAAGTAGTTTAGTGGGATTCACATGGAAATGGCAACACAAAAACATACAAGAGAATGATTCCACACCCCTTTTCTATATGTTTGATTTTGAGTATTGATATTTTTTTCTATATATAAAAAATATTAATTATTTTTAACTAAATATTACTCCATCCATCTCACATAATTTGTCTTTATTTTCTTTTTTTTTTTCACATGATTTGTCCTTTTTTTTTTGGAAAATTGATTATACACTTTAATTATATTTTAAAATTTAATTTTTTTTAATTTTGATTAAACTATTTAGTTATCTTAATCTTAATCTATAATTATTTTTACTAAATAATAATTATTTTTACTAATACACTTTTTAATTACTTAGTAATTATATTTTACCTAAATTCTCGTATTTACAGCAACACACCCATTTTATCTAGGACAAAGGGAGTAATTTATTTTTTCATGTCGAAACTTTGAATAGTAATATTATATTTATAATACAAATGCAATAATATTTATAAAATATTATTAAAATATAAAATTATTTTTAATATCAAGTTGATAAAAAAACAAATGACTATTTTGTTGAGTGACCGAGAGTAGTGTAATATTTTTTTCATTCTAACTAAGATCACTTTTTTACTATTTTTACATATTTTACTAAAAAGTATATTTTTTTATACTTCATTCGTCCATTAACAATCTATCTATTTTTTTTATTTTGATTCGTCTCATAACAAAGTATTAATTTATTTTTTTTAGTAATTGTACTATCTACGTAATATTACAAATACCCTTCAAATTTACAATATATTACACAAATACCATTACCTTTTATATCATACAATACTAATAAGGTTAGTTTGGTCTTTTTACCTTTATTTCTACTATATTCCAATATAATACTATTATTCTTAAAACTCCATACAAAAAAGCAAACGAATAGATAGATATGAGACGGAAAGAATATTATAATAAAAATAATTATATATTAATACCAAAATATTATTAATTTTTATATGAATTATAAAGATACTATTTTATATATATATATATATATAGTATTACAAAAAATCAAATTGTAAATTTGAAAAATCAACAAAAAAATCATTGGTGGGGTGCCTTGTGATGCCTTCCTATAATTCCTTTCCTATTCTTCACTCCATCATTTATTTTCTCTCTCTATCCTTTCTTATTTTAAGGTCAATGGCATATGTATTTTTTGCCCTTCTTTATTTGAAAATTTAATTATTGTTTTATATATACATATTTTGTGTTTTAATTTGGATTATTTTTTAATGTAAAGCATAAAAAACTATATATATATTGTAAAGACAATATTTTATTTTAAATATTGACTTTTTATATATAAAATATTATATATAATATATATTGAACAAACAAATCTTATCAATATTTTAAAAGTAAATAGTAAGTAATTGTATAAAATGTTTTGAATAAAAAACATATCAAATAAAATATTTTTAAAACATTATTGATAATATGCTTGAAGATATCTTAGATATAAGGTTGGGGTTGAGATTAAGACAGTGAATAATAGAAATTTTAAATTAAAATATAGTTTAATGTTGCAAAAATTAATTTATAATATGATATTTTAAATAAAAATTAATTTGTAATCTAGTATTAAAAATATATATAATTAGATATTTTCAAGGAAAAGAAAATATATATAATTAGATATTCAATCCCAAACTGCATCTTTGTTTGAGATTTTTAGTTTGAAATTTGAATAATAAAAACTTTAATTTTGATTTAATATATTTTTTAAAAATCATAAATAGAATAAATGATTAAAAAGATTAAAAAAAAAACCCTAAACTCCATACACAATCTTAGGATTTTATTTTATTTTTTTGCTACGGGGGTTTAGGTTAGTGGCTAAAATTTGTACTATAATACTCCCTCCGTCCCAGATACCATGTCCACATTGCTGTTTTTGTCCGTCCCACATACCATGTCACTTCTCTGAAAATGATTACACACTTTAATCTCATTTTAAATTTTTTATTTTTTTTTTAATTTTAATTAAAATAAATAGTTATCTTAATCTTAATTTATAATTATTTATATTATAGGATAATTATTTTTCCTAATACATTCTTAATTATCTACTAATTATACCCCTCCTAAAATACCGTGTCTACAGTGTAGCAGACACGATATCTGAGACGAAGGGAGTATTGTTTAATGTAGCATTTTATTATTATAAAAAACATAGTAAAATACTTTTAAAAAAAATGTTTTTTATTTGGATTTCAAATGCACAATTACAATATCATAACAAAAATATTATTTAAATAAAAATTAAATAAAAAAACTTAAAGCAAACATACGCTTAAACGAATAAACAACCTTAGTATTCCCTCTACCGACCGAAATTGGATAATAAGATTATATTATTAAAAGAAAATAGTAAATAAAGACGACACGGGCGTGTCGTTATTCCCAATATAGATGCCCTGAAAAAAGAAAAGTACAGAATATTAAAACAATAGTTTTATTTATGTGACTATGTCAATGAGCATTTGAAGTTAGGGAATATAATTTTTTTTATTGAATGTGATATGTATGAAAATATTATTAAAAATAATACTCCCTCCGCCTCACTACATTTTAATTTCAATTTAAAATTTTTAATTCTAATTAAATTAATTAATTTTTTTAATCTTAATTTGTAATTATTTATATTATATAATAATTATTTTTACTAATAAATTTTTAATTATTTATTAATTATATTTAACTCGGACATCAATAGTGGGTCATAATGGTAATTATCTTCATTAAACTCTAATATTAATAGGCTCTTTTAATATTTCTTATGTCCTATGGTTTTTACTATTGTTGTAATTTAGATGTTATATATATTTTTTTCACTTATACTTATTAATTACTTCTTAAAACTAATAAATTTATATAAAAATAATGATTACTTGTAATATATTAATTTTTTTTTTTTAAAAAAAATATATTGAAAAAATTTTGGGAAAAAAAAAAAAAACCCAAAAGCTTTCACTCTAAGGGGGTAAGAGGGGATATCATGATATCACATCCCACCAACTTTCGTTAAAGCAAAAATGCTTTCCCCCCAAATCTAGACACCAATAAAATAATAATAAGAATAATAATAATAAATAATAAATAATAATAATGCTCACTAGGTTTATGACATTAATATGTAATAATATTACATTAGAATAATTGGAGGAATCGATGTGATAATACTCACTCTGTCCCAAACACTATGCAATATTTTATTTTATTTTATTTTCAAATTCACTGCAATATTTTTAAATTTAAAAATAATTAATAATATTTATATACATATATTAATATACACTTCAAAAACAAATAATTATATCTCTCCAATCACATAATTTAATATCAAAATTATTTCAAATTATCATACTTAATACTTCTCATCTAAATTCCCGTGCCGAACGCAAAGGTTGCATTGGAAGTGAGGGAGTATTTTTTACTATAATAGTAGTACTTGATTTATGGTGGGAATAATTAAGCAGACAGCTAATCATTGTCAAATAAATAAATGCATACAATTCAGTATCTACGCAACACAACACAAGTGCTTTTTCTCTAAAAAGTCACAATTTTTATTTATTAATTTGAGAAAGAACATAAATAATATTCCAAACTTATCATCACTAGAGAATGTCAATATATTCCTTAGCTTCCAGAACACACACACACAACTTTATCCCTTTTTCATTTAATCCCCTTCAAAACTATATATACAAATACAATGATGTTTTGATATATAGCTCATGATAACATATGATTTATATAATTTTCTATTAAATAAATAAATACATAATAAAAGTATTAGCAAGCATTCATTGTTAGATGATTCTTGATTAGCATATGATGCAAATATAGAATACATAAAATCTTTTCTTAAACAAGATAAAATTTATAAACCAGTTAAAAGCTGAAATCCCATATGAATTAAGAGGTACGTACCAAACAGAAATTCGAAGAGACGAGCAGACGATGTTCAATTATAAACCATGTACTTAGGCGTTGCGCTGAATTTTTGATAACCTTTGATCACCTTATTAACGGCGTCCAAGAAATCTTTCTCGGTCACGGTTTTCCTTCTTGCTCGGATAGCGTACATGCCAGCCTCGGTGCACACACTTCTTATGTCTGCCCCTGAAAAAAAATGTATACCACAGAATATCGAATAAAATCTTGATGCACAGCATGGGCTTATGTCGTTTAATTGATATCTAGGAAAAATCTGATGAACTTTTACCGGTAGAGTTTGGGCAGAGACGAGCGAGAAGTTCAAACCGAATATCCCTCTCACAGTTCATTGTTCGTGTATGAATCTTGAATATTTGTGTTCTGCTTTCTAGATCGGGCAATCCAAACTCCACTTTGCGATCCAGACGTCCAGGACGAAGCAGTGCCGGATCAAGAGTATCAGGTCTATATTATATAAATTAAAAACAACCACGGCATAAATTAGCACGTCAATATCCATCAAATAAAAGAGCGCCCGTTGACAGCAAGAAAACCATAAATAATGGCAATCAAAGGTTAGAACATAACCACCTGTTGGTTGCCATTAGGACTTTAATATTTCCACGAGCATCGAACCCATCCAGCTGATTGACAATTTCAAGCATTGTCCGTTGGACCTCGTTGTCTCCACCAACCCCATCATCAAATCTTGCGCCGCCAATAGCATCAACCTCGTCGAAGAATACAATGCAAGCCTTTTTAGAGCGTGCCATCTGCCGGTGAATAATGAAATGTATTAACTAAGTCATGTACGGCCATGGGAGTATGGAATATGTTCGTAGAATTGGAGGTTTTTGAACCTGAAATAATTCACGAACCATCCGAGCACCCTCACCAACGTACTTTTGGACAAGCTCACTTCCAATAACACGAATGAAACATGCATCGGTTCTATTAGCCACAGCCCTGGCGAGTAGAGTTTTACCAGTACCAGGAGGGCCATAGCATAGCACACCCTTTGGTGGATCAATCCCCAGTTTTACAAATTTTTCAGGATGAAGCATGGGCAGCTCGACAACCTTGCCAAAATATATATATACAAAGACATATATATATATATATATAATAAGGATTTGATGAAGATATCAAAAGGTGAAAATGAAATCCTTTTTTGTTTATCCAAACATAAGTTATGGCAACAGCGTGCACATTAAAAGCAAGTGAAGAATAAATATATTGTCGTACCTCTCGCATCTTTTCAATTTGCTCCTTACAACCACCTACATCATTATACGTTACATCTGGCTTTTCCTCAACTGTCATCATCGTAACACTTGGATCAATTTTTGGAGGCAATGGAATCTGGATTTGATACTTATTTCTGTCAACACTGCAAAAATAAATAAATAAATAAATATTCGATTGGAAAAAATATCATAATAGCTAAGGGCAGCAACAGTATAAAATAAACTAATGAGTTTAAGGACCTAAAAATCATAACATTCACTTCAATAATTAAACTTATGCGGGGGTGCATGAAATACCAAGATAGAAAAAAGTATTTACCCAACTCTCATGCCTTCTTCAATATCGGTGGGTGAGACCTTATCCCCTAATCCAACAACAAACTGCAAATAAATGACAATTAACAAAGAAAATATAACTAAAAGTTGATACAGAATAGAAAAACAAATAAATAGAATATTATTCAATACACAACCGAGCCTCTTTTAGAGAAAAACCATCAGGAAAGGTCTAGTTCTTGCCTTGGCGATTTGCTTGACATTGATGACATATTTCGCATCTTCGGTATTGGGATCAATTATCTTGGTACATCTTGCAACCTAGTAAGAAATCCAATTATACCCAAAAAAAATGGGTTAATAAGATAGATGAGTTATAATTATAAGCCTTACTTGATTACAAAAGTAACCGTGAACAACAGAAGAACAAGTCACATAAACTATATACATATATATACCTGCAAAGGTTGTTCTTCCTGCATCATTTGCTTATCCGATACAAGATCCCATTGACTCGGTGCAGCTAGACCAGTGTCGGATTCCTTGATACCTATACAACAAAAATTATATCTAATCAACATTACGAAGATCGAAGTAACATATGACCATTGCACTTCAATAGCCTACAGACAAATAATCACAGAATAGTCATCAATATTGTGAAGATGGTCATTGTTTAGCAAAAATGCATAGAGAATTGGTAAAAGATACAAACCACACAAATCGTTTATCTTCTTGGCCATCTCCTTGATTTCCTTCTCGGCCTTCTTTATGGTCGTAGAATAAGGCCCCAACCCCTAAAGCACACATTCCATAAGAGCAACAGACTTTAACATGCAAGAAATTAGAAATTACTTTCTGATTTGCTATATACAGTAATTAGCAGAAGAACATATAGCAACTTAAGCAGAAGAACAGAATCTTCACTTCACAAATTGCAACAATATCAGTCTTCCATTTCCACAAAAAAACTAGATCCAAAACAACCCCTAAAGTCGCTTCACTCGCCGGTTATCTACGGAAAATGAATTACAAACTCAAATTTGTCTCTAAAACTAAACTATACCTGCGTTTCCATACAACCATTAAAAGAGGAAAAACCGTACTTACATAGGTCTTGAGAAGAGCAATATCATCTTCATCGAGGGGCTTAGGGTTCTTCTCGTCCTTGATCTCATCGTCAGGCTCAGGCACCATTTTCGAATTGCTTGATTTGATAGGATGGGTGAGGGCTTCGGCCTATTGCTTGTCTTCCTGGTCAAGAAAGCAACGATGAATAAGGAACGCCATTAACGAGCACCGAGCAGGCAAGCTGAGTTATTTGTTGTGAATTCCATTGTTCCCCTGAAATTGGGCCTTCAGTCTATACTAAATGGGCCCAAAAAGAAAATAATATAATGGGCCAATAACATCTTCAGCCCAATAAAAAAAATCCAATTCAAATTGCAAAATATAATGATATATAGTATATTTCTTGACAACTTTTTATACTACAGCTATTTTTCGAGTACATTTTCGGTAAATTTCAACTTAATAGTATGGAAAGTAGGTCCTATGTTTGTTTATAATTGTTCAATAATACACAATATTTTATATAAAAAATTAGATTATGTTATCTTTCAATTCTTTGTAGTCATTTTTTTTTAATAAAAATATATCAATTTTTATATAAAAATATCACATTAATAACTAAAGTTGCATGTTTTGGATGGGTGTGTGTATTTTGATTTTGTATTTTAATTGGATGTAATGGCTTGTGAGATAAAATTATAACTTTGTAAAAGAAATCTTGAAAATTAAATAGTACAAAAATAAATAAATAAATAACAATACAAAGGTGTGATATTTTTTATTTTAACCGTTTTTATTATTATTAGGTAAAATTATTATTGCATTTGACGCTTTATATAAGAAATTTGAGAATTTGGCCTAATAGTGTATATGGTAAATTTGTGACCGTGAATAATGATATCACAAAAAAAAAAAAAAAAAAAAATTGCAAAATTTTGGAGATATATAATATACAATATTAATCTTCATGTGAAGTTGATTAATTTATAATCCAACTAACCATGTATTAGGCCTAATTGACTTTTGTATGACTAATAATGTTTATCTGATAAATTAAACAGAAATATTTATTAACCCTATAAAGTTAACATCCTCATAATCTATATGTCCTTTCTTAGTATATAATTTTATGTTTTATTCAAAATATGAAATTAATTTTGTTTTAAATAAAGATCAAGTAAGAATAAAAGATTTATTTTATTTGACCTTCTTTCAATCTTTTCGTCTACAATTTCATAACTTTTTACTTAGAAGTATAATATATTCTATGATTATTTTTCGTGTAAAATATTAGTTGAAATTTAACAATTATTTCACCTGCAAAAAGTATTATTACTAAAAAAAATTTAAAAGAAAATAAAAAACAAAATATTGAATCGATTTAGCTCTGTATATTAAAAATTCTAATCAATCCGAAATATAATATTTTAATATTCTCTCATCTCATAAAAAGATACTGCTCCCGTCCCAAACAATGTGCAATATTTGCTTTTGGTACGAGCTTTTAGATGAATAGTATTAAGTAGAATAATTTAGAAATTATGTGATGGGAGGTAGATATCAAGTATAATTAATTATTTACTATTTTAGAAATGTTTCAGGATGTTTGGAACGGAGAAAGTATTATTTTCTAAATATTTGTTTATCCCAAAACAAAATTGTTATTTACTTATTTGGTAATTATATTATCTATCTTAACTTTATAAATATTATTACCATTCACAGTATATTACATAAATTTCATTATAATTATATTAAATAATACTTCCTCCCTCCCACATAATTTGTCTCTATTTTCGTCCGTCCCATATAACTTGTTATTTCTATTTTTGAAAATATAATTATGCACTGTAATCGCATTTTAAATTTTAAATTTTATAATTTTCTTAATTTTAATTTTAATGAAACTATTTACTTATCTTAATCTTAATCTATAATTATTTTTACTAATACACTTTTTAATTATTTACTAATTATACTTTACCTAAATTCCGGTATCTACAGTAATACACTCATATTAATTCATGTAAAAAAAAACAACAATCTTAATATTTATTACTCCCTCCGTCCCAAAATACCCTACAACATTTTCTTTTTCTATGTCCCGAACACCCTGCAACATTTCTAAAATAGAAAATAATTAATTATACTTAATATCTATCCCATATCTCTCAATCACATCACCAAATTTCTAAATTATTCTACTTAATACTATCCACCTAAAAACCTATGCCAAAAATAAATATTGTACCTTATTTGAAACGGAAGGAGTATAATATACTCCATATTTAATACTCGACTTCTTGTGTTACGTCTGTTAAAATAAAATTTTTATATATATATATATTTTTTACTTTTTCATATTATTTTTATTTTACTTTTTTATATATACCTTAATTTACATGCAAAAATTGCAAAGCTTAATTGTTACACATATAATGTATTTTTATAAAAGTAAAAATTCAAAATTATTAAATATATTTCAATATATTTATTTATTTATTATATATATTTAATATTATAAAAATATAAAACAAAATTTTAAATTTTAAAAATAATAAAAAACTAAAATTCTAGATTATTTAGGAATTTTCGATATTTAAATTGACTTTTTAAAAAAAATTCAAATTTTGAATCGATTAAAATTTGACAAAATCCAAATCAAAATCCCGGATGTTCACCGTACATTGTGTTAAAAATTATAGTGGCAGTGTCAAAAATTTCTTTAGGACTACATTTGATATTTTTAATATTTATGGACGCGACGTGCAATATTCCAATTAGTCTATAAAATCACTACTACTAAGTAGTAATTACTGTACTTTACATGCTCAACAGTTCATTTGTTTTGTGGAAAAACAGCAACGAAGGCGGCAGCCAGAACTGACTCTGAGAAATGGAGAGCTACGCAGCCTCCTTCGCTCTACGCCCCAACGCCTATTCCCCTCATCCTCGTATCGCCCATGGCGGCGGTTCCATTGGGATGCTTCCTCCCAAAAAAAAGCTCTTTTCGCCTCAGCCTCTTTCTCTTCCGGTATTGTTATTGTTCGTCAATAATTGGTTCATCTCATGTTTTTTTGATATTGTTTCGGTTCCATATTATAGCGATTTGTTTAGTTATGGTGTGTGTGTGTGTGAAAAAAAATGTGTGCAGCTGCAGAAGCAATCGCAGTTAGGTTATTTCAATTACCAAAGCAATGTGAATGTTAGTCCTCTTCGCGTAGCCTCTCCTGCCAGGTGCATTAATTTCGCTGATTGATTCTGGAAACGTCGTTTGATTGATTCGATTTTGTGAATCTGAGATTTGATATTTCCTACTCTGGCAGCGATGTAGCGTCGGAAGTAGGGGATATTGATTGGGACAACCTTGGTTTTGGATTAATACCGACTGATTTTATGTACATCATGAAGTCCTCCCAAGGTAGAGCCTTCTCCAAAGGTGAATTAAAGAGATTTGGGAACATTGAGTTGAGTCCATCTGCAGGCATTTTGAATTACGGTCAGGTTGGCTCTTTGTACTGAATTTTGATCTTATAGTAATTTCTATCTGAAGTGAAGAAAGTTTTGTGGTTAAATTCGTTAAATTTTTGGCAGGGACTGTTTGAAGGTTTAAAAGCTTATCAAAAACAAGATGGTTCTATCTTACTATTTCGTCCCGAGGAAAATGCACTTAGGCTCAGGATGGGCGCTGAGCGAATGTGCATGCCGGCTCCGACAGTGCAGCAGTTTTTGGATGCTGTACAGTACACTGTTGTGGCAAATAGGAGATGGGTAATTCGTACATTCATCTCTGTAGTTTATTAGATTTTGAACTTTCTATTTGCTTATTTCATTGTAGTGAAGTGCTTAATTATTTATATGCATCTCGGTTACAGATTCCGCCACATGGTAAGGGTTCTTTGTATATTAGGCCTTTGCTTATGGGGAGTGGACCAGTTCTGGGCCTTGCACCGGCTCCTGAATACACTTTTTTGGTTTATGTTTCTCCGGTGGGGAACTATTTCAAGGTAAACTGGCATTTCGTAGTATATTCGTGTATTGTGTTTCATGTCTGCAAATTATTTGTTGAATTTGTGTTTTTTTGTGTCTCTCTTGTATTGCTACATCCAAATTTTCTGTTAGATGATGTGTAGATTCGTAATTTTGTGGTGGTGTTTTTGGGGATGGTATAATGTTTATTCCTAGCAGAATGGTGTACCTTGCAGTTGATTATCTGTTCCATTTCCAGGAAGGTTTGGCACCAATAAATTTGGTGGTTGAGACTGAAATGCATCGAGCAGCTCCTGGCGGCACTGGTGGAGTAAAGACTATCGGAAACTATGCTGCAGTAAGTAACAGCTTTGGATTCTTTCTACACATTGTTCTGTTGGTTTTAATTTGTTATTGATGCATCCTCATTTTTTTTTGTAGTCTTGTTCAAACTAGTAGCCTTTGTATATGTTTGAATGAAAGCAAAAACATACTGAAAACAAGAATTGGGATAGAAACTCATGCCTTGGGCTCTTGTTTATTCTGTTGGATTTATTTCTTCGCACTGGCCCCGATGTTTTGATTAGAAATTTATGATTTCACTTGCCAGAATCATTTGAATATTTTTTGTACTGATGCATTCTTACATCTTATGCTCTACGGCTCGCAGGTATTACAGGCGCAGGGTGCTGCAAAAGCAAAAGGCTTTTCCGATGTTCTATATCTAGATAGTGTCCATAAACGATACTTGGAAGAAGTCTCCTCCTGCAATGTGTTCATTGTAAAGGTAAAATACCTTTTACTTGGATTTCTGAGCTTCATAAATTCTGGTGAATTTAAGGCTTCGACTCGGCAATTCTTAAAGTTGAGCATTTGTGCATCAAAGTTACAGTCATTCGGCATAAGTCTATATTTCCATTTAACGGCATGCTTGAATCTTATTTGGTATTCAATTACTACTCATCATAGGGTAATGTGATATCCACTCCTGCAATAAAAGGGACCATCCTACCAGGAATCACTCGGAAGAGCATAATCGAAGTGGCTCTTAGTCAAGGATTCGAGGTACTTTTAGCAATACATATGCAACCAAAGACACCTTACCAAAACAAAGAATACACTAGTCACCTCAAACTGATATTTTCTTGTGATATCATCTAGGTCGAAGAACGGCTAGTGACAGTAGATGAATTGCTCGATGCAGATGAAGTGTTCTGCACAGGAACGGCTGTCGTGGTTTCACCTGTTGGCAGTGTGACATACCTCAATAAAAGGTTATCAAACATGAAATTCCATGGTACATGATTTTAAATTTGATGTGATTATTCTGAAGATTCAATGTCAATGCAGGGTGACTTACGGAAACAATGGGGTCGGGCGCGTGTCGCAACAACTCTATTCGGCCCTTACCAGCCTGCAGATGGGGCTTGCTGTGGATGAGAAAAACTGGATACATGAGATCCAGAAAATAAGGTAATTTTATCAGTTTTGATTCATCTGTCTGTGTCTTGATCTTGCATTCTAGCATTGCAACTTTGTTGCTATTTTCTCTCTCTCTCTCTCTCTCTCTCTCTCTCTCTCTCTCTATAATTTAAGTTCTCCACGCTGCAAACTGGTCGGTCTGCTTTCTTCCTTCATCATGATTCGAATAAAATTAGTGTCTTGTCTTGGTTAGGATAGAGGAGGAGAAAACTCTATGGTTCTTTTCTCACTCTGCTTTTGCAAATCTATTTTGTTCATCTTGGTTTCATCATGTGTAAGTTTATACATTACATACAATATATAAACGAACAATATATGACAATTAGTTTATACATTACATAATATTATTAATTTTAGCACATAGATTTATAAGAATATACTTATAAAGTAAGTTTTAAATGAGAACTGTTTATGTATGAATACGGGCCGGGACCAGCTGCCATTCAAAGTTCTTAGTCTACAGTTTGGATTGATGTTTGAAACACAACATTTTGTATTTTGGGCCTTTTGTTCCATCCCTTTGTGGCTTTGTCAGTTCCATAAAAAATAATTAATTTTTATTTTGAGTAAGTTTATCAATTTTAATCATAATTAATCAATTTTAATTAAATTATAATTTTAAATATTTTTAACATTATATCTCAATAAAAAATATAAATATATAAAACATATCTTAATAAAATATATTTAAATATTATATCTTAATAAAATTATATATAATATAAATAAAAAATAAATATAAGTTTGAATGAGTCAATTAAATTGTTTATATTTATTAATTGTTTAAAATTAATAAATTTACTAAAAAAAAAAATAGTCATTTTTGTGGAATAAAAAAAGAAAGAAAGAAATGAGTTAGTGGTTGGACGGAGGAGTAAAAATTTATCTTGCTTAATTGTTTTGTATCTAGTGAATAAGAAAATCAGGAGCCCTAACCAATCAGTTCTAAAGACCGAAATCCAAAGAAAGGCACTTAAGGTTGTCTGATCCCAAAAAAAAACACATGATTTGACGGTAACAAAAATCGAAGTAAAGTTACTAGCAAATAGAGCTCCACATTATCGAATCGAATGCGAGTGGCGTTCAGATGTTCCAAAGTTCATGGAGCCTTAATGGCTTCCGCCAGATTCTGAAAATCTGCATAGACCAGAGGGACCTCTCCACTGGCAAGTGCTTGCACGCTCTCTACATCAAATCCGCCCTCCCAAACTCCACCTATATTTCCAACCACTTCATCCTCCTCTACTCCAAATGCCGCCGCCTCTCCGCCGCCGGGAACACCCTCCGCGCCACCGCCGCTCCCAATGTATTCTCCTTCAACATTCTCCTCGCCGCCGTCGCCAAACACTCGCCGCCGCATCTTGCCCACAACCTGTTCGACCAAATTCCCCAACCAGATATCGTCTCTTACAACACCTTAATTTCCGCCTACGCCGAATGCGCCGGCGCTCAGCCGGCGATAAAACTGTTTTCCGGCGTGCGGGAGTCGTGCCTTCCTATCGACGGATTCACATTTTCCGCCGTCGTCGCCGCCTGCTGCGACAGCGTCGGATTGATCAGACAACTCCATTGTTTGGCTCTTTCCGGTGGATTCTCCGGCTACATTTCCGTCAACAATGCCTTCATTTCGATGTATAGTAAAAACGGATTCTTTACGGAGGCTTGGCGAGTGTTTTGCGAGATGGACGAGGTTAAAGACGAGGTGTCGTGGAATTCGATGATCGTCGCATTCGGACGGGAGAGAGAAGGGCGTAAAGCTCTCGAATTGTATCAAGAAATGGTCCGTCAGGAAATGTACGTCGACATGTTCACGTTGGCGAGCGTTTTGAGCGCGTTCACGAGTTCGGAGGATTTGATCGGAGGGATGCAATTCCACGGCCGGATGATCAAGTCCGGGTTTCATTACAACGTCCACGTCGGAAGTGGTTTGGTCGATTTATACGCGAAATGCGGCGGCCGTATGTCCGATTGCCGGAAGGTGTTCGAGGCATTTGTCGATCCCGATTTGGTTCTTTGGAACACGATGATTTCCGGGTATTCGATCAATGATGAGTCTTGTGAAGAAGCGATCGTTTGCTTCAAGCGTATGCAGCGCGCCGGTCACGATCCCGACGACTGCAGCTTCGTGTGCGCGCTCACCGCCTGCGCTAAAACGCCATCTCCTTCGAACGGGAGGCAATTACACGGTTTGTTCGTCAAATCCGACGTCAAATCGAACCGAGTTTCGATAGACAACGCGTTGATCGCGATGTATTCCAAATGCGGGAATTTGATCGACGCCGAGACGGTATTCAATCGAATGCTGGATCATAACGTCGTGTCCTACAATTCGATGATCGCGGGCTATGCTCAGCACGGCCGGGGTGACGAATGTCTGTCGCTTTTCGAACATATGCTCAAGGAAAACTTCGATCCCACATCTATTACCTTCGTATCGGTTCTTTCTGCGTGCGCGCACACGGGGAGAGTTCGGGAAGGGCGAAGATACTTCGGTATGATGAAGGAAAAGTACGAAATCGAACCCGATACGGAACATTATACGTGCTTGATCGATCTTTTGGGTCGAGCGGGGAAGCTTGACGAAGCCGAGAATGTTGTTAAATCGATGCCGTGCAACCCGGGCATCATGGTTTGGGTGTCGTTGCTTCGGGCATCCCGATCGCACGGCGACACGGCGCTCGCCGAGAAGGCTGCCGTTGAATGCCTCCGGCTTGACCCATCGAATGCCGCGCCGTACGTCGCGCTCGCGCACATGTACACAGCTACGCGAAGATGGGAGGAATCGGCGAGGATCAAGAAGTGCATGAGGGACAATGGCGTCAAGAAAACGCCGGGATGTAGTTGGATCGAGATCGACAAGAAAGTTCACGATGGTGGTGAGGATCTATGAGTTTTGGGCAGAGATGTCGGGAAAGATGAAGGATGCCGGTTACGTGGCCGATACGAGATGGGTTTCGGCGTGGGAGGACGACGGCTGCGACGGATTGGGGGAGGAGGAGAAGGAGACGATGGTGATGCATCATAGCGATAAATTGGGGGTGGCGATAGAGCTGGAGTAGAGCTATTAAATGAATCGACTAGCTCGCGAACTAAACTCGAGCTTGAAAATTATTTTTTCACAAACGAACCGAGTTGAGTCTGTACTGCTAATAAGTTCGAGTCGTTTAACAGCTCTGGCATAGTGTCCGCCGGAAAAAAGTGGTCCGATGGTGGTGATGCTAATAAGTTCGAGTCGTTTAACAGCTCTGGCATAGTATCCGCCGGAAAAAAGTGGTCCGATGGTGGTGATGAAGAACTTGAAAATGTGTGCCGACTGTCATAATGGTTTGAAGGTGTTGTCTGACGTGGCGCATCGGAAAATTACGGTGAGGGATTGCCGTAGGTTTATCACTTTGAGGATGGGCTAGTAGGCGGCTGGGTTTTGAACCCATAACCTTATATGGTCACGAGTTTAACCCGTACGCTACTAAGTCATTTCTTACGGAATTTTTTGCCATTTTTTTTATTTGTACAACGTGTTGAGTTGGTATTAGTACAATTAATTATAATAACAAATAATTATATTTTAATATTTAAGTAACTAATGAGTCTAATAAAAAGTAAAAAATATTATAAATTATACTCTCTTTGTCCCGGCTATCGTGTACCTTACCTTTTACTGTATATACAAAAATTTATGAGAAATATAATTATTAAATAATTAAGAATATATTAGTGAAAATCATTATAGTGTAATAAGATTAATTTTAGATTAAAATTAACATAAGTAATTAGTCTAATAAAAATAAATTAAAAAATTTAAAATGAGATTAAAGTGTATAATTTTTTTTAAAAAAATGACAGAATAAGTGAGATATACCGAAATGAAAAGTTGAACATTGTAAGTGGGTCGAAGGGAGTAAAATTTAAAATATGATTAAAATATAATATATTTTTTCAAAGAAGGAAAGTGACATAATATACGAGATAGACGAAAATGAAAAATATGACATAATATGTAGGACGGAGAGAGTAAAAGACAAGATATACATCCTCTTCCATTATTCTCTAAAATACTCTATTCGTCTACTCACAAAATATATATTTCTATTTTAGATTATCTAATTATTATAAAATAATCATTTAAAAAATATTTCACTTTTTTTTTCCGTAAAAATCCTACTTTTAACATTACATTATTATTTCTAAAAATAATACAAAATTATTTTTATATTACTTTTAATTATTTATTACAATTAAAATACTATTATCCTACAAGTTTTACGCTAAAAGCAAATATAAATTTATAAAATAAACGAAGGGAATATATAATAAATTAAATAATAGTATAAGATTAACTTAAACACAAGCAAACAAGGGTGTGTTTTGTTCTGATGAATTTGAAAAAAAATTAGTTTGAGTTTGATATGAAAATAATGTTTGATGAGATATTTTGTGAGAAAAAAAAATATATTTTTTTCGAAAAATATCGAATCCAAATAATAAAATTTAGAAAAATTTTGCTGAAGAAACATACCCTAAATATTTTGTACAACTTAAAAGAAGAATGGAGAGAGGGTAATATAATGGATGTTTGTTTGTTTGTTTTTTTTTTTTTTTTTTTGTTTTGGGCCAATCCAATTATATTTTTCTGTTTGAAGCCTTGAAACTAAAGCCCATGTGACTAAATAAAATATTATGTTTCTTTTATTTTATTTTATTTTTTGAACAATAATTTGAATATAATATTATTTAAAAAATAAAACTAGTTTATTTTTATACAAAATAACCATTGTTACATAATAAAATTTGACGAAAAAGTGCCTTTTTTTTTTCTTTCTTTCTTTTTTTTTTTAAAGTTTACAATCAAATTAAATTTTATTATCTTTACATATTTGAATATGAATGGTTTCTTCATGTGAGCTTCTATATCAGTAAGGTTGACTGTCTGATGAATATAAAAGATGATTATTTTATTAATAGTATTTAAAATAAAAATTAAACACTTTTACAAAATCATTGTCAAAGATCAAGATAAATCTAATGTAAATATTTATTTTATTTATAATACTATGTTTAAATATTAATTCAATACACATTATATTGTTAAAAAACATTACTATATGAAAAATGAAGGGGTTGTTCAATTGGGTGTCTTTTGTGTATGTGTTAGTGGATTTGAATATATTTTTTTAATTAAATTATTATTGAATATATTTTAATATTTTATATAATAATGAATGTTAAATTTATTATATGTTTTCGAGAAAATTAAAAATTTTTAGAAAACAGGAAATACAAAAAAAAAAAAGAAAGAAAAAAGCAACTTCTCATTTTTATTCACAATTTTACATCTTGCAATGTTGTTCTAAATTTATTTTACTTAAATACATGTTACAACATTTTTGTCTTTAGTTTGACTAAAAGTTCACTTTATTATTATTCCTTTTTCAAGTTTTATTTATTTATTTATTGCAGTCAATCTTCATAATTCTTATTAATATATAAATTTTTTTATTATAAAAGTGTCGCATTTAACTATTTAATTAGTCCTCTAATTTATATTTATTTTTATTTTTAGATTATCATAAAAACACATTTTTATTTTTTTATTATTAAAAATATACCATTTTTTTTGGATTTTTAATATAAAATATAAAAAAGAATAAATATTAAAACTAAAATTCATATTAAATAATTGAGCACATATTTGAAAAACAGATAAATACTATTTAAAAAAAAATACAAAGTAAAAAAAAACTATCATGAATTTGATTTTTATTTAAAATCAAAATTATCAATACCGTTCTCAATTACATACACTATTTTTTCTTCATTAAGCTTTTTATAAAAAAAAGAAAATTGCAAAAAATATTTTTTATTTATGCCAAATTATCATTTTTGTTTTATTTTGATGGCAAAATATATTATATGCGATTACAAAATTTATCATTTTTGTCCTTTGGCGGCACGTTATGTTCACACAATAGTTGTTACACAGGTGATCCAAGATCAGAAATAACGAATATGTAAAATATAGTTTACTAACTATATAAATAAATGCTAAAAACAAGAATTAAATATACATAAATGAGATTTTTTTACCGTTTTTCCATAAAAAAGTATTATTTAAATTAAATTTTAAATTGACACTTGAATTTCAAACCAAAACCAGACCCATGTTTTTTTGCATTTTGATTTTAGTTTATATAATAATTGTATATTGCATAATATTTTTTTTATTTTTTTTTATAACTTATCTATAGTTTGAAAATTATCATCAATACCTATTATTTAGAAATTATGCAATACTCCGTCTAATCAACATAAATTAATTTTATAAAAAAATAAGAAATTTTAAGTGTAAATAAAAATATTTATTTATTAATAAATATATTTGTAAGAAATACTCCATATGTTATAAAATTATTAAATTGATTTATATTTATTAAATATATTTTAAATAAATACTATTATATATTAAAAAACATTAAATTAAAAATTTGTCAATTTGTTTCTATATTTTCAAATACCAAAATTTTACAATTTGAATTTGTATTTTTTAAAAAAAAATACATTTTTTTTTCTCTAGTAAAATATCATATCATATACTCATTTCGTTCCACCGTACATGACTCATTTTTTTTTTCAAGACTCATAAAAGATGACTTTAGTAAATTTATCTATTTTAAACATATGACAAATACTACAACACCCGGCTCTAAGGGTTTCATTTACTTTTTGTGTGTTAATATTTGAATATCAATTTTTTTATATCAAAATATAATACAAATTAAGAAAAAATTGCAAAAATACTTCTATTAGTGTCTTATAATATTAATAGAAGAACATTTGTATAAAAAATTATAAAAATATAAAAATATTTTTAATGTTAAGTACAATAACACAAAAAGTAAATGTGACATTTATAGGCAGACGGAGGGAGTATAAATCAATTTACTTGAATTTCTAACATCTTACATGACTCATTCAAAATCTCTTTCTAATAAATATTTTTTATATATATTTCAAACTATTCATTTATTATAAAATTAGTTTTAAGGTAATTATAAATAAATATATATTTGATTGATTTGTATTATATAAAATTTTATTATTTACAAAATGATATTCATATTGTATATATATATATATGTTACGATGTAATGCTAAAAATATATAAAATACTAACAATATTAAGTGATATAAAAAATAATATTTCAATTTATTATCAATAATTTACTAATTTACATTATCTAAAATATCGTATTTTTTTTTTTTTTTTTAAAAAAGGATCATTCGACTCAACGAAAATGTTATTATTTTAATACTAAATTCATACCAAAATTTTCAAATCCATAAAAATAAACACATCGGTGGTAACGTTATAAAAAAAAAAGCAAAAATAAATTAAAATAAAATCGGTGGTAACGTTATAAAAATAAAAAATAAAAAATAAAACAAAATAAAATCGGTGGTAAATGTATACAGATATAAAGCGAGCGTTACGTTGTATGCTAAAACAAAATGAACTGTTGAGGATGATGCAAGCATTGTATATCACTCGACAAGTGTACAGTGCAGTTAGCATACTTGGCAAAATTGGTATCGCATTCCAAACACGTGTAAAAAAATACCGTTGAAAGAAAAAAAAAAAGAATAAAAATAAAATGAAATACATTTGCAATGATATCATCGAAATTGAATGAAATAAATTTTTGAATTTTTATTTTATATATTAATATGAGAAAAAAATAGAGTGGAAAAAGATTCTGGTAAAATTCTAAATATTTTATATTTAAATAATTAGGTCACGTGAGCGTGAGCTGGACCCCTCTCTTGCGAAAAGAAACCTACATTTACTAAATATAGTTAGCGGTGCGGAATGACGAAACTGCCCTCCAACAAATTGGATTCGTGTTTGTTTGTAATGAGAAGTGGTGGAGAAGGAAAACTTTAGTGGAAGCAAACTCGGAGCAGTTACAAAAGTGGATTGAAAGAAGAAGAGTAAAACAAAAGCCTATTGTCTATACTCTCTATAAATAAATAATTAAATAAATATATATGTGAATTAATCTATTTTTAGATTCAACTTTTTTTTTTTTTAAAAAAAATTGATTGGAATTTTTGTTTTCTGGTTAAAAATAGATTTTTATTTTTATTATATGTATATTTATATTTATTATTTATTACAAGGGTTCTCTATTCTTCCTCGCGTTCTCCGCCATCCCAATTTCTTATTTTTGGTGTCCTTACTTTTGATTTAAACTAATATTAATACTATTCGATTTATTATTTAATTTATATAGTTTCAATAAAATCGATTTTTTTATATAAAATATTACATTAAAATACTACTATTAAATTAAAATTTTAATGATTTTAATTCACAATACACTATTTTTTTAGACCTTTTTGTATCTACTTTATTTATTTATTTTTAAATAAACACACTTAGAATCGATGTGATTAATGTAAGTCATGAGTTTAATTGGTACAAGTCTAGTCTCTTGAATATATCATATCTATTACATAATTATTACAAGAATAACATTTACTACACAATATTGTATAGTAATAATAATAATAATATTACAAGATAAAATAATTTTTATTTTTTTTATTATTATCATTAACTCGAATTCAATAAACACATCATTAACTGCCGCTCATTTACTACATCAATTACAAGCTGATGAACAAATTTGGGTCTTTATTATTTTCCACAAATGTCTTGGTAAACTTAAATATAAAATAAAAAAAATTCTTATATAAAGGTGTATTTGATTTGTATTTTGTGTTTGTGTATTGTTTCCTGTATATTGTATATTGTATATTTTTTTATGTAAAAAACAATATATTTTTAATTAGAATCAATAAATTTGCATTAGAGATGTATTTGATTTTGATTTGAGTTTGAGATTTTAGTTTTAGAATTTACTTTAAATTAAATATTATTTTAATATAATATGGTGAATATAATAATTATATTTTTCATTTTTACAAATTTTTAATTTGAAATATTAAACAAACAAACCACTGTCGTTCCAAAATTATTCTACTATTGTTTATAAGAAATGATTTGATAGTATGAGATGGATAAACTCGTGACTGTTAAGTAATGAAATCTAATTTAGAGGTTATTAAGTTAAGTTTCAAATTTTTATGTTATAAAAAAAATCATCATACCACCGAAGAAGTCGTGCCTTCGATTTGGGATTGTGTTTACATTTTGTCAAATAATTTTTTTTTTAAAATTTTAAAAATTTTATATTCACGAAGCGTATAGTTATTATTGGTAATTCTAAAAAAATAAAAAGTCGAAATAAATGAAAACTCTTAGCTAACGCACACACAGCCGTTGAACTACTCTCTCCTCTCTCTCTCTCTCTCTCCTCTCTCTCTCTCCTCTCTCTCTTTCTCACTCCTACTATTTAATTATTTTAGAGGTCATTATATCTTTTTCCAAAGCCTCAACCTTCCTTGCTTCTCCCCAACTACACAGCCCTCTCTCTCTCTCTCTCTCTCTCTCTCACTCCCTCACTCTCTCACTATAACTACACACTCACTCTCTCACTATATATATATCTCCTTGAAAAAGAGATCTCTTGGAGATCTTCTCGACCCTCAGCCTATTTTCTGCCCCTTTCTTTCTTCTGCTGCCCGCTTTTAACATTTCTCTTCTCCTCCTTCAAATGACCTCATTCTTCTCCTCCGCCATCGCCGTCGTCTCGCCGCCGCTCCGCCACTAAACCCCCCACTCTACACCCGCCATGGATTTCGCCCCCCCCTCACAGAACAAACAAACTTCGCCGGATCAGGATGCCCCCGCCCCCCCCGAAAACCCCCCCGGATCTGAAAATCTGAAGCGCCACCGACCCATCCCCGCCGCCGGCGACGGCTGGAGTTTCCCCAAATTGCCCCGCCCCGCCGAACCTGATTACTCCTCAAAAGCTCCCCTGATTAGGCAGCCCCATGGCTTCGGGAGATCCAATCTCTGGCCCGCCGACGACGGCCAGAAAATGCTTTCTTTCTCCTCCTCCACCACCGCCGTCTCTGCCGGAGGCGGCTCCGGCTCCGGTTCCGGCTTCGGCTCCGGCTCCGGCTCCGGCAGGAGCATCACATTCTCCCAAGCCCAAGACGAGCAAGATAAAAGTATCTTCGAACTTTACTTAATATTATTATTATCATTATTGTTAGTATTTATTGCTGTTGGTTAATGCGTATTTTTGGGGGTGAGTTCAATTTGCTATCTATTATTACATATCTGATTTGATTACGAATTCATTAATTAATTGCTTACGAATCCGTTGGTTGTCCGAAGGAAAATCCCTTAAATGTAAGAAATTGATTTTGTTTGTTTGGTTCTTCTTTCTTCGTCGAGGTGGTTTCGTTCGCGGAGTATCGTCGTCTCCATACGCAAACGCAAACGCAAGAATGAGAGGTCCCTTCACTCCATTACAATGGATGGAATTAGAACAGCAAGCCCTAATTTACAAATACCTGGTCGCCAACGTTCCTGTTCCTCCTCACTTGCTCGCCCCTCTCCGGCGACCTGCCCCCGCCCCCACCTTCGCGTCGCCGGCGGCCTTCGCCTCCCACATCTGTAAGCTTCTTCTTCTTCCATCATCGTCGTAATTTCCGAAACTAAATTCAATATATACATATATATATATGTATGTATGTATATGTGTTGAATTGACTGGAGTTGCAGTGGGGTGGGGGGGACCTTACCCTACGGGGAACGCCGGCGGAAGCAATGATCCGGAGCCGGGGCGTTGCCGGAGGACCGACGGGAAGAAGTGGCGATGCTCGAGGGACGCCGTCCCCGACCAGAAATACTGCGAACGGCACATCAACAGGGGAAGGCATCGTTCAAGAAAGCCTGTGGAAGGCCAGCAGACTGGCCACGCTGTCGCCGGCCCCAAAGTGGCGCCGATTGCTCCTTCCTCATCTCCGGCAGCATCGGTGATGCCCGGCGTCAGCGTCGGCACTGCCGCCGCAATGCACCAGCATTTTGGTCAGCATCCCATTACGGGTGGTCTTTCTACCAACAATCTTGTCGCCAGGTCGTTTCAATTTCCTTAATTTGTCGATTCTCTAATGAATGCGCGTGTCGTAAGCAATTGAAATATTTGGATTCGTTAAGCTGCATTTATGCGCAATCTTTGTCGGGCTATGATTTTGTTCGTTATGACTCGAATCTCTGCTAGATTTCGATGTCTAATTCGGGTAAGTTTACACGTGCTGTAGGTCCCAAGCGTTCGACAGCCTTTCGTTATTACCGAACCCAACGGTCGGTCTGAAGTCTAAAGATGCGGCGGCGTCGTCAGCATTTGCCGTTCAGAAGCAAGATTTGTCGCAGTACGAAGAACCAACCAGCTCGGAGTTTGGACTTTTCCTGTCCGAGGCGCTCCTCAATTCCAACGAACGACTTCCCTACATCGACGACGACGACCATTCCAACGCTTTCCTCAATTTCGACGACAAAGACGCAACCGAAAATCAACTCATCCACCAGTTCATCGACGATTGGCCGAAGGATCAGTCCCACCGCCCCTCGGCCACCTGGCCGGAGGAAATGAAATCCGACTGGACCCAGCTCTCAATGTCGATCCCCGCAGCTACCGAATTTTCGTCGTCGTCTGCATCCCCGGCACAGGAGAGATCCGCCATTTCGATCCCGAGGCCCGGCCAGTCGGTCCAGATGAGCCTCGGCATGAGCAACGATTTCGGACAGCTGATTCATAAGCAACCGCCGTGGTTCCCGGTGACTTGGGGGAATCCGATGGGCGGACCCCTCGGCGAGGTCCTGATTAATACAACACCCGGCGCGGAATCCGTCGAGAATAACCCGACTATCGATGCGGGCCCGATGAAAACTACCTGGAGGAACAACAGCCCGCAGATGGAGCTGTCGCCGAGCGGGGTTCTGCATAAATCGAACTTCGTTTCGCTCTCGAACAGCTGCTCCCCCAGAAGCCCGCCCAGCATTGCTACCGATGACAAGAACGCTGCCGCCGCTGCCGCAGCAGAAAAGGCTCGTCTCTGCAACGAATTTGTCGCCAATTCTGCGGCGATGTAACGGCTGCCGCCGCCGGGTGGGATGTGTATCTGTTGGATTATGTATGTTTAATTTTCGTTTTCTTGATTCCAATAATGGAGTCGTGGACTTGTTTTTATTTATTACCTGCTTTGTTTGTGACATTGGTGGTGCTTGTGATTGTGTTTGAGCTTGGGTTCGGACATGGTTTTTTTTCTCTTTTAATGTGGTTTTGTGTGTGCTTTTATAGGATGCAATATGAACTAAAGTGAGATATTAGAGTTGGGCGTCAAGATGAATTTAAGTTTTTTTATTTTGGGCTTGAATTAAAATTTCAAAAATATTTTTTACAAAAACATCAAACCTGTGGAACTCAAAATTTAAAAATATTTTTTAAAAAATTTATTGAACTTCAAAGTTCAGCATTTCAATGCCATATCAGCATATCTCAACATTTTTGTGTTGAATAATACCTCAAAAAATAGTAATTGTTTGTATTTTAATTTAATAGTGATTGAGAAGCAAATTAACTATGTAACTACAAAATTTTGTTATTGAACAATATAAAAAAAATATTAAAATATATAAGTATTACTATTATTATTATTTAAAATATATTAAAGTGAGAATTAATGTTTATGATTGTGGGATGGAATTGTGATTAGAAAATAAATTGAATCGTATTTATTTTCAAGAAAAATATAACATTTAGTTTATTTATTTATTTTTTTTTTTGAGTATAATTGAACCAAATTGTAAATACAAAAATCACATTACGACCAATTGTCAAATTACATTCCTACGGTGGAGAGTGTGTGAAAGGCAGTGAAACATATATATATATATATATACACACATACATGATATATATATATATATATGTATATATAAACCCTAGAATATCTTTGAAGTAAATCAATCACACTCTACAGCAGCATATATCCAAATGATCAAATCAATCCCAATCCTCTCAATCTGTTCTTGATATTCCATAGATCAATTAGTCTCCTCTTCGTCAAGATTCCCAAGATGAGCGATCAAGAACCCCAACCTCCAGCTGATTCCATATCCAACAATCATCAACAATCTTCTGGAGGTTTCAATCCTAATCATCATCAAGAACGTCAACAACCACCCAATTCTTCTGCAGCTTTCAATTATCCTAATACTAATAATAATGGAGAACATCATCAGCAACCAGCTAATTCTTCATATGCAGCAGATCCACCCTCAATTCTGACGCCTATACTTCCGAACTTCTTCCTCGACCTCGTCCAAATCAATCGTATTCTTCTTAACTGTCACGTCCTCCTGCCCGATATTTTAGAAGGGCATTATTCAAATCTGGTGGACATTATTACAAATAATAATAATTGGACGAACCGCATGGAATGGCGACGACTACGATGGTCCAAAATGCAAACCCTAGTCTGATCAGGGCCCAAGTAGTCTCCCAGTTGCAGCAGCAACCTTTCTGCCCCATTCACGAGTCCGCCGGCGCCGGAGAAGGAACATCCCGTAAACGGTCCGCTTCCGATATGAACAATTGGTCCCCAGCCCAAAGTCTTAATGATACAATCCAGAAACAAATCATCAATGATAGCAACCAAAATCCAAGAAATCCGTGGACGGAAGTCCCGATTATGCTGGAGGGGAGCACTATTCCGGCGGCATCGACTGCCGGCAGAAACACTCCGGCGACTAAAAGTGCCCGAATTGAAGGCACTCCCGATGGTTGCAAATGCGCTTGTTGTGGTAAACTCTTCCCTACAGTGAACGATCTAGAACGCCATTGGTTTGAGGACAAATGCTGGAATGTGGACGACCGAAACAAAAGGTCATAACGGTCGGGATTATTATGAATTGTATGTACTGATCGATTGCCTTAATAATAATTGCCTGAATATAAGAAAACAGCACAAATTTTGGCATCTCTCTTGGATTAGATGATTGGAATCAATCTATTTCTTTCTCTTCAATTCTTCTTGATTTATTGATGGCATTCTTGTTCTTGAACAAAGGGTTCTCAAGATTAATTAAAAGTTAGAATTATTCTTAATCAGTCAATTACTTAATTGACATCATCATCATCATCATCATCATCATCAAGAAATTAAATCCAGATTGGCCAATGGTGTATGTGTATATATAATCGTAAGGCTGGTTGATAATTATGAAAGAAATTAAAGGATTTGGAAGCAGCAGAAGGTTGATGATTATTGGATTTGGAAGCAGCAGAAGGTTGATGTTCTTGATCGCTCATCTTGGGATGGATGGAACAAAGAAGACGGAGAGGAGACTTAGAATTGGAATATCAAGAACAGATCGAGAGAATTGGGATTGATTTGATTTGGATATACTTCAATTCTTGCCCTTTTTTTTTTTTATATATATATATATATATATTGAAAAAATCGTAAAAAAAATATATGATGCCTCATCGAACATCTTTCCATCGTCCTAACAACTTCTTGTAAAAAAAGTGTGTGTATAGCTCTTGGTGTATAGAGAGTGAGTTACTAATGAGGGATGTTCTAACCGAGTCTGGCACATGCTAAAATATATCCATACAAATAGACTCCAATTTTAATAAATCTAACATAATTACACAATAGTAATTGAACCCAAGATTGCGATCTTGATCATGATCTTGAAGTCTTGGATGCAATCAATGGGTCAGATGATTCCTCTTTGAACACTTCTCCGTCAACCTAAAAACTCTTTGGCGCTAACAAGAAACTTGCTAGTACATTTTCGCACACAAGCCTGCTAAAATAGAAAGCAAAAGCACCATAAGAATGTACCCGACAAAAGTAGAGTATCTATATAGCTCTTTGTAGTGAAGTTGATCAGTTACAGAACAGGGGTCCTCTCCTATATTATATAGATACTTTAATAGATCGGGCTTAACACATGACAAAGTATATTCACACTCGTTTAGATTCTATTTATATAGTAGACAAATAAAGATAAACTATACAAAAAATATGGATAAATCAAGTATATTTGAATAGACATCTACTCAGCTAAGAAACGATCTTTCTTTGAAGAACAATAAGTTCACTGCCCTTTTTTTTCTATAATGAAGTATGAAAAAAAATAAATATATTGTCTAAATTTGGAATAAAAATCCTATTTACTAATTATAATTGATCATATTCATAATTATAATACACTATAATATATTATTTCTTTATTATTAATCGACTTGATCGCCTAATCAATAATATTATAAATCCAATACTAAAATATTTTTGAACTTTGTTCAGCAATCCAATACCATATCAACATATCTCTATATTGTGTTGAATAATACTTCAATAGTAGTAATTGTTTATATTTTAATTTAATAGTGATTGAGAAACAAATTAATGATGTAAGTTCAAAATTTTGTTTATCCAAATCAATTAATATTTTAATAAATTATCCATAATTAAATATTATTTTGGGATAACAAAATTAAAATATATAAGTATTACTCCTTCAGTCCCACAATAATTGACATAATAATTTTTTTTCTGTCTATCTAGTAACAATCGATACTTTTTTATTTTGGGTAAAACTTACTAAATCAGAATATATTTAACATATATAAATCTAACTTTTTATATTTTAAAATATATTAAAGTAATTATGAATGTTTATGATTTTTGGATGGAATTGTTATTAGAAAATAAATTGAATAAGTTATATAATTAAATCAAATTGTAAATACTAGAATCACAATATGACCGATTGATAAATTAATTCATCTTCTTTAATAGTATTGAGAATTATAATACTAATTCACTCTTAATACCTAGTAATATTTTTAAAATAAAAAATAATTAACATCTTTAACATGTACTTCACACTTTTATCTCACCACATCACTTAAATAAATAAAATAAATATATATTTCTCTCTCCATGATATAATCTAATTTTCAAATTATTATACTTAATATTATCTACTTAAAATTTCATGACAAAATCAAATTTTGGAGCGGAGGAAGTATTATATTAGATATCATTTAAATTTAAATTTAAATTTTAAAAATAAATAATAAAAAATTCAAGGCGGACCCATTAACGGTAATCCAATAAAACATAAAAAGCCACACAAAATTCAATAAATCATATTGCAATGACTTTTTAGATTTTTAGATGTTTGGAATAAAATAACATTAAATTTGACAAAAATAAATACTGTCTGAAAAAAAATCTAATTTGAACTTTCAAATTAGACCTAAAATAATTTTGGTCTGGCCAGCACAACTCATTTGAAAAATCATATCAAGTTCGGGCTCGTTAAAATCGGACTGTACTGACTTGGTCCAATATATATAAAAAATAAAATTATTAAAAATAGATTAATGAGTATATAATAAAGTAGAAATAAAACAAATTAAAAGTAGCTCAATTGGTAAGATGTGTTTGTTTCAAGGATTTTGGAAGACTTTCACTATTTACACAAAATGTTTTTTTTTTAAAAAAATATATTAAATCAAACATTTAATATTTTATTAAAAATTAATTTTACATTCAAAATATCAAATTTATACTTATTTATATCAAATTATTAAACTATTCCAATTTAAATTTTTACTATTCAATTCTTAGATTAAAATCCAAACCTCCAAACGAACACACATTAAAGGTGCAGTCGGTCACAACAATTCTCCCAATGAGAATTTCGACAAATAATTTATTTTTCAGCAACAAATACCCATCGTGTATATGATATTTTCAAATGTTAAATTACATTTAGGAGATATATAATAACAATCAAGAATAATTGCATATAACTTTTTTAAATAGAAGAATCCTAATAGCTTAAATTCTAGTGTGATAATAAATACTTACCTGCGTGACATTCTACAATTGTAGCTTACAATGTACTCCTTCCGTCTTAGAGACCGTGTCTGCTACACTGTAGACACTGTATTTCAGGGGTATAATAAGTAGATAATTAAAAATATATTAGTGAAAATAATTATTCTATAATATAAATAATTATAAATTAAGATTAAGATAACTAATTAGTTTAATTAAAATTAAAAAAAATTAAAAAATTTAAAATGAAATTAAAGTGTGTAATCATTTTCCAGAAAAGGATAGTGACATGGTATGTAGGACGGACAAAAACGACAATATGAATATGGTATCTGTGACGGAGTGAGTATTTGGGAGGCCTTGGCCAAACAAATATTTCGATAAGAGCCTATAAGGAATTCCATTAATAACTGAAGTTTTGATTTGTTGGAAAAATCGAATAATCTTAGTTTTAAATTTAGGAATGA